GATATTACTTTTCTTGAAACCTAATACGAGTTATACCAAAAATATAGTCGCTCTCCAATGACAAGCATGTCATAGTACGAAAATAGTTGCATTCTAATTTTATAAGATTATTTATGGCAATAGAAATGTTTTTTCTTCGCCAGCACAAAGCACATGCGCACTCTTCTATTTAATAATAAATGTAAAATTATTACAGAAATATATCTACGTAGTTTGGAATTTTGTATTAATAATATTTATAAATTTTTTCGTTAGCCATTTTTAATACTTTCATTATATCTATTTCTACCAAGGTCCACCATACGCAATGCTCACCACTTGGCCATTGCTGCCGCGTGGTCTTGGTTTTATTGACATGTGGTTTCCAAGAACAATTAAAACGCATATAATTCAATTTTAGTCTCAAGAATTTAGCTTCATTTCAAAAATAAGGTTTTGGCAATATGTTTCAAAAATGATTTCGACCAAGAGTTCCGAAGAATAACCAACCGAAAGACCTAATTTTCGACCACTTTTTGCAGCTTCCAAGGCTTATCGGCGTAGACAAGGGACTTAATATAAATCGACTTAATATAAATCGCACGATTTTGGTTGCCCCGCCACAGGCCCACGACGCAACATAATGCCTTCATCAAAAGCTTCCTTCAATAAATTGATTGTTTTGTTGTTTTTATGCCACTTCGCGCCATCTTGTTGAAACCAAAGTTTTTTTCTGAAAATCATGATTCGTGGCTATCTTATTAAGAAGCCATTCATGCCCTTAATGGTCTTTCAGCTTCATTTGCTTGCACGGGTTGGATTTTGTCGACGGCAAACCTTCCCCAAAATCTTGCACCTTATTGCCGCGTTGAAGGATGGACTCTATACTCCACTCCACAGATGCAAAAGCGTCTTCGGTGGGCACTATGCAGCGTCTCTGAGGATGCGTATTATGAATTTAAGTAAACGTGGTGCAAAACCGATCCATGGTTGCTCGAATTACCGACTCTGCTGTGCTGTGCTTATGTCGAAGGAATATTGGGCATAGCGCACATAGTGCGCGTTCTATTAATGACTGTTATATCAACTGCTCTTCTAATTTTTGCAAAAAAAAATTTCAATCTAATTTAACTATTTTCTAACGTATTTTATTTTTAGTTGACACAGTTGAAGTTTTAATTACTTCACGGCTTTCGAGATTTATTCAAGCCGTTTCCAAAACAATTAATTTTATTGTCTTAACTATAAAAATTATATTGTACATACATATATGTGGATTGTGTCTGCATTATTTTTGTTGACAAATATAAAACTAGCTTTTCTTTTTTGACTTTAGATAATTTCGCGCTGCTTTGTCTTTCGATCCACAGCTGAAGTAGAAACGTGTGAAATTACGAAATATTTTTACTTTTTTTCTTTTTCAATTTGTTGCTAAATTTTGACAAATTTTCCGATTTTACATAATAAAATCAATTAACTGCTTATCAATTACATTAATCATCTCCATCTATCACTGACTCGCTTGTGATATTTACCTAAAAGTTTCTTTAAAAAGCTTGTAAAAAATTTTGCTATAAAATAAACGATATCAAATTACATATATTTATTGTATATATGTATACCTTCCGAAGAAATATAATTGAAGCTTTAATGAGCTAATAAATTCAGTGGGAATAATATTTTGGTTATTTTTAAATATTCAATACTTTTTAAATAAGAAACTGATTAACCGATTAACCTAATTGATTATACATTTCTAAGAATTTACACAGAAAAAAAAACAAAACAAAATCACCAAAAACAATTTAATTTAGAATAAACCCCCGCTGTGTAACTGTCAAGAACAACAACACTCGGCCTCAGTCAGCGTAATTTCTGTTTCATTGCATTTAAAAAAAATAAGAAAAAAGTACGGCAAAACTGATGTTTAGATACGCTGCGTTTCATTAAGAATGTTTCAAAAACACTTTTTCATATTTAAGTAAATCCTACTCGGCTTCCTCTTAGCAGGGCGTTCAAACAATGAAAATTATAAGCAGAGTTGATATCATACAAATTATTCAGCTAAAAAATGATAGAAATAATAATTACATTTCTAATAAAATTAAAATTGAATAATTTCTTAACCACAGCAACAACAATAATACAAAACAAAAATTTACAAAAACGTTGGAGTACGAAAAAACATAATTTATTATTATTAATTTATTGGTTAATTCTACAACAAATCGGCATTATTATGACGCAATACTTATTGTTATATAAATAAAGTATTTACTAATTAAGCTTTTCTTTTTTAAATTTTTTTATAATTTTATTTCACTTTATATTATTTTAATTTATATTTTTTACGTTTATTAAAATTTTTTATTTTATTTTAATTTATATTTTTTACGTTTATTAAAATTTTTTATTTTATTTTATTTTTATTTTTTAATTTTGTTATTTAGTATTATAATTTTATTTTTCATTTTATTTATATTTTATTTTTCATATAACTTTGTTTTTATTTCATTTTATCTTATTTCCTTTATTTTGCGTTATTTTGTTTATGTTAGTTTATTTTAATTGACTTAATTTGCTTTCATTTTATTATATTTATTTATTTTATTTTTATTTTCTAGTAATTTTGTTTATGATTTTTTTGTTTTATTGTTTTTTTTTTTGATCTATTTAAATAAATATTATTTTTACTTTATTTCATTTCATTTAATTTTATTTTAGTTAACCTTTTTTATTTTTTTTTTATTTTACTTTATTTTATTTAACTTATTTTTAATTTATTTAATATAACTTTTTTTTAATTTATAATTCTTCATTTTATTTTATTTTATTTTTTCATTTAATTTAATATTGTTTTGTTTTAATTTATATTTCTTCATCTTATTTTGTTTTATTTTATTTTATTCAATTTTTTATTTATTTATGCATTTTTTTAATATTAATTTTTATTTATTTTCTTGTTATTTTATTTTTTACTTCCTTTATATTTTATGCTATTTTATTGAATATTTCTTTTTTTGTTTTATTTTATGTAATTTTGATCTATTGACTATAATACTCAATTATTTTATTTATTGCATTTTTTGTTTTATTTCATTTAATTTAATTTAATTTAATTTTACCTTATTTTATATTTTTAAATTTGTTTTTTATTATATTGATTTGACTTCGTTTTTTATAACATTCTAAATTGTTTTACTTCTTATTTTATTTCGTTTTATTTTAATTCATTCAATTTAATTTAATTTTGTTTTAATTTTTAAATTTATTTTTATTATTTTTTGATTTGATTTCATTTTTTTATAATATTTATATTACATCATTTTATTTTCATTCATGTTATTTTAACTTATTTTTTATTTTATTTTTTATTGTGCACTGTTTTATTCTGTTTTCTTTTATATTACTTTATTTTAATTTAGTTTATATTATATTATTTTATTTAATTTTTTTTTTTACCTTTTCTTTTTCCACTTAACATTTCTTTATGTTTATATTATATAGTTTTAATGTTTTTCAATTGTTTTTATTTTATTTTTTTGCTTTATTTTTCTAATTCCGATTTGATTTGCGTTCCACGAAACAAAATAACTGAGCTACATTAAATATAAATTAATTTCCCATAGCGCATAATTTTTTAACACACATCAGCCAAACTTTACTTTTAACTGGGTTTATGTTTCTCTTAATTCAATGGAATTTCGAATAAAATTACCATTAGATGCTAAAATATGCAAAACTTGTTATATATTTCAATACGACTTTTGTGCTATACAAAAAAAAAAAAAAAAAACAACGAATGCCTAACATTTCGCCCCTGAAACCAACGTTTCTCTTTTTTCCTTCTGATCTCTTTCTTTTAGCCATATCAACGGTCCGGTGACTAAAGCCGCAGGTGCACTTCTGTCTCACGTTCAGAGCAGAAGCCAGTAAAAAAGAAAACCTGAAAAAAGTAAAAAAACAGAGTGTTTATCATCTTTCAAACTAATTTTTCGAAACACTTCTTTCACCCTACACGTTTTTCGCTATTTCTACTACTAATTTCGTACACACTAACAACAAAATTTCAAAAACTCACACAACCAACAAACAATCTTTGGAAAGCGGACAAAACGGCAGCTACAAAAATAGGTTTCTTCAAGATCGCAACCTCACCAACGAATCGTCGTCAGCACAAACTTCCCTTGTCGCCCTGCGCAACGCAACGCAAAGATCTAACCGAATCGTCAAGGAACGGCCTTTACAGCGCACGGAAACACCTGGACAATACCAGAACGAAAATGTAAACAATAGAAACTTTAGTGGTATCGCTGTAAGCACGAAAAGCTACGCCCCATGAATTTAAACAAAATAATAAATAAATAAATATATAAAATAATTTAATTTTATAATAATTGTTTTAAATTATTGATTCAAAATATTTGTGTGATATTATTGTTTGCTTTTGTAATTTAACATCAATTTCCTTAAAATACTATTATTGAAGAAACTATAGCGCCAAAAGTATGTAAAGAATTTAATTAAGTAAATAAAAAAACAATAATTTATATTTTGTGATTTTGCTAAAAAATTCTATATAAAATTTTTGGTGTTTTAAGATTTTTTAAGGTTTAATAAATTACTGTAAAAAATTTAACATATTATTAATTTCTTAGCCAAATTGAAATTATTCTCTGTCAAAGCAACGTTATTTCTTCGTTGTGTCAATTAATTTAAATTGTTGTACAAAAAACATTTTGAAATAAATTTGCTTAATTTTCAATTGTTTCTTCGAATTGCCTGTGCATTTTGTGCAAACATTTCTAAATCTATTTGTAGATTATTTCAATTAATTTAATTATATTAATTAAATTTAATTCGAAAAAAACATAATAGGCGCAAAATCTTACAAAAATGCGAAGAAATTTCCTTTCTTGCCCACAAAATACACACACTTAAAATAAGTTAATAAAAAGTTTCATTTAAAAATTTTTTAAACTATAAAAAAGAACATAAATTCTAAATACAACTAAAAGAAAATGCCGTCGCCCAGCAAAAAACAAGCGCAGCCGCATTTGTCACTGGTGACCCATAGTCATGACGATTACCAGAAGTTAGCCGATGCTGGCATTAGTAACGATGCATTCCAAACGCCGGAAACACCACAAACGGCAACAACAAATATCTGCGATAGCGTCGAACTCATATCCACCACACCAAATACAAATACAATAGACACCAATCATCACACAAATGGACACAGTGATGAATTAGTATTAAGAAATAATACCAAAAATGAATTAAACTCACGTCCTTTGAGCAACAACCACAACCACAACAATAATAGCAATAACAATAACAATAATAAAAATCCAAATCAAAATGACAACACAACACCTTATTACACCAGTAACAATGGCGTACCACAAGGACACTATCGTTATACATTGCCATTATCCTTGACAACGACATTGCCACAACCCTTGCCACCATCAATATCACAACAAAAGCAACAAATGCAAAAAGATCAGCCGGATGATAAATATAGATTATATACAATATATGGAAATGGTGAGTTGCAAAACGACAATACCAAAATAAAAAAAAAAATAAAAACAAAAAAAAAATCACAAGACACAAATCATTCGATTTGGAAACCAAGTGTTTGAAGTATCTTCCTGTCTCTATTATTCTTCTCTACTCTTTCTTCTATTTGCATAAATATATTGTATTTTATTTGGAATCTATTTTTACTAAATATTTTACGCTTTCTTCTTCGTAGAGGAAAGTTTTTTTTATCCTTTCTTACTATTTTATTATCTTACTTTCATTCCTACTCTATCAATTCTATAGTCTCTTTGAATAATTTGTGCATAAATAATTTTACTATGCTTTGTGCAATTATTGATCTAGAAAAAAGTAATCCATTATCTTTGCATTAAACTGAAGGCTTTATTTAGCAGTTAGACTTATCCTTGTTCCTATTGGCAAGAGACTAGGACAATCGGTTTTAACAGGCTTATCCTGAGGCTAATTCTTCACAAGCCAAATTATTCGTTATAGACATCAAGAGCTAGCAATCACTTAATGCGAGATCTGGACTATAAGGTGGAGGCGTAAGTACCTCCCAATGAAGCCCTCGCAGCTTTTGACGAGTCACTATCAATGTGTGCGTTGTCCTCACTCCACTTAGCCAAAGCTGTACTCTTCTCAGCGATTGCTTCAATTAGGGCGTACAATTTCTAATAGTGCAGCTTAGAATTAAGCTTTTGGCCGTAAAAGAGTGACTCATAGTAGATAATTTCCTGCCAATCGCACCAAACATATAACGAAACCTTCCCGGCCGTCAATCCTGGCTTGGAGACCGTTTCTGGCGACTCACTGTCCGTAGGTCGCTACCGCTTTCATTAGATGTGGTTGTAAAAGATCCACGTTTCAAAACCAGTGAATGTCCGAGATAGAAATGTATTGACTACGATATGTTACGATTTAACAGCGATTCGAAGATGTAAATTCGGTCTACAAGGTTTTTTCTCGTTAACTCATGTGGTACCCATACATAGAGCTTCTTTGTGTATCCAGATGGGGTCCATCTTTGACAAGCACTCAAATACTACTGAGTTAAGTGATCAACACTTCTCCCGTTATCTTTTTTAATACAATACATTGCACAGTCATCAAATTCAATCTGTCACACAACGCGACGCAAGAGTTTTAACTGTCATCGGTTTTAGGTTACGACGTTACTACGATTAGCGGCAGCTGTCAAAATTAACACGCTCTGTTGAGAATAAAGCCGATTGCATATCGCTAATGCGTTTGATCTCAGTCTGATCCGGCATCGAAAATTTCTTTGTACATCGTTATTAGCGACTGTTATCGATATAAGTGATCGCATGACGTTAAGATAAGTTTGAATTGCCGCTCCATAGAAATCAACTAATGAAGAATCCTAACTCCACATCTGACATTAAAAAAAACATATTTATATCTCTTGAAAGATATAATTCGGTGATATGTAATAAGGGAAAAGGGTTAGGTTACGTTGAATTGACTAATCCAGCGGGTTTCACTTAGTCGATAATACGTCCATAGCGTTACCAGACACCATGCTGTTTCTTTTCGCAAATTGAGGTGGTCATTGTTGTCCTCATGGGCCACTTTTCTGCGCCAAGTAAGTAAAGCCAATGTCTGTCGAAGGCTGCACACTTAGAAATTACAGCAGTTGTTGTCCCCAGTTAGACCTACATTAAAAGCATGTGACGTCAAAAGGGAATGCCCCTTTGACAACCCAAAAGTGGCTTAAATTACTGCCTCTTTAATGTTAACTTTTTAAGTTTGCCCATAATTTTCTCGCTATTCTGCAGACCCAGCTCCTTCCGTAAATCTATTCGCCTGACTTCACTTGTTGTATGGGCTGGACTTTATGTAGATGTAAGTGTAAGTCCATGTAGAATAGCCTAAAATATGTCGTATGAAAAAAGTCCCAGCTCTTGAGAGCAAAGCTGAAATACACCCACTCCGGTCTTCGGATAAAATTTCACTTACTGTAGCGTTATTTGAGGTGGAACGTGCAAAAAGATAATGCATAGTAATTACCGTATCCGTAAACGAGTCAGTATCTTCGAAATTCTTTAAAGTTTTACCAATTGCTTGATTATATAATGGGCGCTTTGTAGCCGCTGAAGCGATTTTTCTGCCAATTTTGGTTTTGCGTCTTGATGTTTTTCCATCAAATGGAGGGGCCTACAGTTTATACTAAGCAGCCTTCGAGCGGCTGATTTTTACGAGGAGCCTTTATTTTATGTCAGTAATACACTCGGAGCGGTTGACATTCCCCGCCGAGGGGCGACCGCAATTAAAAAATTTGACTGAATTTTTTATTTAAATTAATTTTCCCTAACTTTTGGCTGTTGGTCGCCCGAGCCTTCTGAATGTCAGTACCCAATGCTAACCACTCGCTTGACTAGTTGGAGGATTATGAGCACCATAATATCATCTTAAGTCAAGAAACTGGAGCCATGTTTGAGTCACTTAATTCCATGCGTTGTGCAGTTGCTAAGCGATCCATTTACATAAATGCTAGACTTTTAACTCAAAACAGAAAAAAACTTATTTGTTTTGACAGTTAAGTTTGACAGATGTCAAAATACAACACTGCAGTTTTGAAATCACGAAAAAATAACCCTATACGTATGTTAAATGATGATTTTAAAATATTATTTACTTAAAAGAATTTCGTATAGCTTTAAGCAAACTCAAATACAATTGCAACGGTAATGACATTGATTTTTGCAACTGCTTGCCATTGAAATGTGTTTTTTCTTCTTGTTTGTATTTTTTGTTAGTCTAATTAAACTCTCGCGTGACTTGGGTCCTTACGGCGAAACGTTTTTCATTTATTTTATCGATAAACGTGAAGCAAAGAATTTGTAAAAGCACAAAATTCTCCAAAAGTGATAGCAAAACCTACACATTATTTACCTATAAATAAAAAAAATTTTACATATTTTTTCTATTTTATTTATATGTACTATATTTATATAAGGCATAGTAATAGTTGGCAAAAAGAATTTCACGACGGCTCACATTTAATTGAGCCATTAATAAGTCAATGCAGTTTAATTAAGCTATTCGTCAAGCCTCTTTTATCTATGCACGATTTGTTTTTGCTATTTTTAAACTTTCCCATATATACCATATGTAAATATATGTTTGCATTTACGTGTATGCGCTTCAGTAGATATTATGTACTATAAATATAAATAAACAAATGTTTGTATGCAAAATAAAGAGAAGCATTTTTTACCTACCTACATATGTATATCTATGCACATGTGAATTTTTTCAATTAAAATTCAAATCGACACAAGTTGTTAATAAATTTTCTTTTTTCTCTCTTTTCTTCTTTTTCTTTTTTGTATTTTTTTTTATATTTTTTGTTCAACGTCTTCACTTAACCATAGACACCGACAATGACAAGTTGTCCGGTCTCCCACAATCAACGACTGGTTCACTAAGCTCAATCATCACGACGTCCATAGCATCCTCAGAACCAGATCCTGGCACGGTTGGCGGTGGTCGTAGTAGTGGTGGCGGTGGCGGCGGCAGCGGCGGTGGTGGTGGTGGCGGCGGTAGTAGCCTTGGCGCTTTAGATGCGAGCAGTATTGCCGGTGTGCCTGGTAGCAGTGATGAGAAGTTGGCATTAAATCGACCGGGTATTAAGCAGGAGAAATGGTCTTCAATATTGTTGCAAGTGTCGATACCGTTCTTTTTGGCTGGTGTTGGCACAATCGGTGCGGGAATCGTACTCGGACGTGTAGAGGTGAGTGTTAAAGATGATCACATATTATAATTGTTTATCATGAAAATCATAATTGTTGAAATGTAATGATATTGTAAGTCATATGGAAAATGCCACATTTAATTGCTAAATTGTCATGTGGGGGGAAAAATGTCATTGGCACGCGAATAATATGAACATTTGCCATATTTCATCCAAATGTAATGTATGTAGGGAAGAGTAGCATTTATTGAAAATGTTGGACATATTTCACACTTTTATTTCCATCTGTTTTAATTACTCAAATCTTGAAATACACGTGTTATCAATTCCACATTTAAATGCACAGTTATTCTACATGCGACTCAAATATGCAATAAAAGTGTTGTAATTACCTTAATTGATAACGTGTGAGTGTGTAATAGATATTTATTATAGTAATTATATAATTTTAACTTACAGCAGGTAGGGAAAAAAATACTAGAAATTTAATGCAATAGAAAATTTTGAATAACTTCCTCTCTACTCCACCAAGAGACCATTCTTCAGCTAACTTCGGTAGACCATCCAACAGTAGAGATCCAATGACCGTCTTTTCCTTCTTATCATACAATTGGCGCTTGGTAACCGCTGAAGCGATTTTCGCCCGAGCTCCTCCACCAATTTGTGGTTTTGGCCTCTTGATTTTTTTTCCAACAAATGGAGGGGCGACCGCAATTAAAAAATTTAACTTATATTTTTTATTAAATTAATTTTGTATAACTTTTTGGATGTTAGTATGACATCAGAGTTTGAATCCGAGCCTTCCGAATGGCAGTGCACAATGCTAACCATTCGACTAATGCGGCCGCCATACTTGTACAATATTCTATAGGGAGCCTCTAGTCTATACAGACAGTCACCTATGGTCATGCTACCTTATTTTCAGAAGTACGTATCGCTTGATCTCTTTTTACGCCATTTTGTTCAGGTGTGTCTGAATTCACGGCTGGTTATAGTTTCATTTCACCTTGACGTGCCTTGTTCTGTTTGGCCATCTCCTATAGAGATCGGCGAAAGCTCAGCAAAATTTCGCCAGTGCTTTTATTGCCACCTGACTGAAAGTCAAGATATCCTTCTATTTAAAGTTGGCTTCGGTTCGCTTTGCTGCCTGCATAATATCAAACGCATCTGCCTATAAGACACTGCTATGGTTAGTTAACCTGAAGGAATGTTCCACAGTAATGTTTCTTGAAAATATAACACCGTTAACTCACGTTAACACACTCAATCTGTGATCCATCCGTGTATATATCATGATGATAATACCTTTCTAAGTGTTTGCTGCATCAAGTCACAAAGGATTTGTGTGTTGCATGAGCTTACCAACTTCCTTTTAACCCATTTTTAAAAGCCTGATATCATTTTAAATACTCCTAAATATATTCCTTTTTAACCCCAACATATTGTAATATTTGATGCATAGAATGTATTTAACTGTTAACGTAAAAAATATAATTTAAAAAAAAAGTTAAAAAAAATTCAAATAAAATTGAAATCTGCATATATGTACAACAGTATAGTTATTTTCTAGCAGCTGTGAGATTCTGACTTTGGCATCTACGTATATTTTATCTAGACTGACTTGCTGACTACATTATCAATAAACTATTATCTATTACATACATCTTTCATCTATAAATTTTTGCATGTTTGAGCTTCAGTTAATGACTGTAATAATATACATACATACATTTGAAGGTATATATGAGCACATAAATGTACATACAATATTTTTTAACTCTTTTGGAGCAAAAATCTCGCTAGGTAGATTTGCTTTTATATCTTCTATTTTTTTCTTCGTTTTTTATTTTTTATTGCCATCACTGATGACATAAAGTTTATGTGTCTGAGATTGCGCCGCTTCATATACCTAAACATGTGTGTTAATATAAATTTGCTTATTGACATTTTCATCGTAGCGTGTTAAAATGTTAAATAAACAATTTAAATTATATATTGTATTTGTGCATATATTTTGTGCTTCGTTTGGTAAGTGGAAAATTCCATAGAAGATTTGCCTGCTTTTGGCTTAAAGAAAATTCTCCGGAAATTTATTTTAAAATCGATAAAGACAAGATTGTTGTTATTTTTCAAAAGTAATGTCACTTATTGAATTGAATGAGCACATACAAATTATTCTTTGTCACCAATTTCTTTGAAAGCGTTTATAATTTAATTTACACTTCTATTCTACAGAAAATTTTATTCAGTCAAGCATATTTTTTGAGTTTTTTTTTTAATTTTGTCTTATTTAGTTATTGTTAAGAAATATTTTAAAGGTAATCAAGTTTTGTCAATCGATTGTGAGAGTTTGCATTAATTTATTGATGTTGATTGATTTGTCTATTACGTTGTTATAATAAATTTCATAAGAAAATTAAAATGTTACTCATACGACTAGTACAACTTTTTTCTGCAGCCTTACATTTAAGTTTATTAAATCTGAAAGTTTTTCTGCCATTGGCCTGAACAAACACATTGTGAGCTCTGCTTCCCGCAGGCTGAAGAAATAATCGTAATACGTAAGCCTCTGATAGTGAACTAGGCTAGGGCTGGACGAAATATCTGTTGTTATCAAGCTAACAGTCATGGCATGCGCGCCTCGACTCAAACTTTGAAGCCGTAGATGAATTCCGGCTGCTTTTTAACCAGATTAAACAACAAAAACAATGTCAGCCTCTAAATTCAACGTAGAGTCACTCTTACCACTAGTTTGGGGTTTTTAAGAGAAAGGTTTTACATAAGACTCATTGTCCTCTGTGTCTTCACAAAGGCGAATACCGCATGATGATGCATGAGCTTTGCAAAACTGATATACTTCAGCGAGTCAAGAAACAGTGGCTATGCTGGCTATGTCATATGGTCGGGATCGATAAGAATACGTCAGATTTGAAATTTTTAAATGCAATACCCGCCAGTGGAAGAATATTAAGAGGTAGTTCTCCACTGCGTTAGGAAGACCAGGTGGAGACGCAGCTGGCTGTACTTGGCGCAAAACAGCGAAAAAAAGGATCGAATTGCGCTATGCTAATAAAAGAAGAAGAAGAAGTTTGCTTGTGCAACTTAAGAATAATGAGGCGGTTAAGAATTTTAGGTAGCGACTATTTTGGCAGAAATCAGAGGTCTCAAGAAGGCAAGAACCAGAGCGCTCAATACATTAAAGTATAAATGTCTGGCTTTTGATTTATTCTTTCGAATTATTTCTAAAAATGAACCCATTCATTGTCAAGCTTTCTGCCGAGTATCCCACAGTTCTGTAAAACTTTGAAAGGAACAATTACAGCGCTAGATTGTACATAAGAGGAGCACTAAAACCCCTCCAATGAGGCACTTAAGAGGTTATTTGATCTGCCACCAATCAGCATCACAGTGGAAATCTGCATTTCAACTATTTACTTTCAGGAAGAGCACTTGACGCAGAAGCATGCGACCCGTCTGCGGTACATATAACATCAACACCGGTATATTAAAAATGGCTCATGAGGTAGGCGCCTGGTCTATTGCGCTGAGATAGACCTCTAGTTCCCATAGTACTGCAGTATTTTCCAGGCAGGTCTTCGCTTAGGTAAGGTTGCTCAGAAAAGCAGTAGAAACGGCGGTCAAGGGTGAAGAGTTGCGTATATACTGATAATCCAGACCACAAAGGAATTATGGGTAACGAAACAGTCCAGGTTACATCAGAGAAAGATGGAACGCAACGCATTAGCAACTACCTATATCAAGCCCAAGAGCAGCAAAGAAAACACTGGCAACCCCTGTAGGCAGAATGGACGTTAGTAGACACATGTTGGTAGTACTTAAGGAGGAAGGCATGAGGGACTTTCGAATCAGTCCAGGATATATCCGGACTTAGCCAAAACTCGTTTTGGATAACTCGGAGCTTCGCAGTTCAAAGGACTAACAGAGGCTTCAAAATTGGGTCGCCAACAAAATAGAGCTCCATCTGGCGCTTCTAATAGGCTACTGTGCTATTTAAGATGCATCAGCCGGCCAATGCGAGCTAATCTCACCTAACCTATAATGAACTATTTAGTCCATTGTAGACATCACCATATCTAATGGAGAGTTGGCAAAAGGAAAATAAATTATTGCTTATGATATTAGATATTAATTTATACTTTTTTTTTAAACTTCTTGTTTTTTTATATGCATTTATATATTTATAGTATTGTACCTACATTGTTAACATAATTAAGAATAATTGAAAAATATACGTTTGCTTAAATGTATGAACAATCTTAGTAGTATTAATGACTATATTTCCAAACCAACTCTTGAATTGTGCATTTAAATTTGGTATAAACGTGTTTTAAATTTTAACGGTGCGACTTGCAATAACTTTTAATTGCCTAACTCTCTTCCAATTCACAAATTCATTTGTATGCACATATATACATAAGCACAAAACGCCCTGCATTACATACTAATTTTCCGTTTCTTCTTCTTATTTTGCTCACGTTTGCTTGCATATGTAGAAATGGCGTGTCTTCAAAGAGATCACCGAACTATTCATACTCGTGCCATCACTACTCGGCCTCAAGGGCAATCTCGACATGTGCCTCGCATCACGTCTCTCCACGCAAGTGAATCTGGGCAATATGACATCACGAAAGGAAGTCGTACGCATGATTGTCGGCAATATAGCGCTGGTCCAGGTGCAGGCGACGGTCGCTTCGTTTTTGGTCGCCATGTTTGCCATTGCTGTTGGCGCGATAATGGATGGAACGTTCCATTTTGAGCACGTCATGCTGCTCTCGGCGTCTGCTATGTTTACGGCGACCTCATCGTGTTTTGTTTTAGGTAAATTTTTCAATTTAATATTTTTAATAAAGATCATTAAAAAAAAATAAGTACAAACTATTTTACTTCAAAAATAGTTTGTTTTGAGTTAAAAAACAAAATTTATTAAAAAGTTTATGAACATTTCTATTACAATTTACTAGTTTTTCACTTTACTAACTCACAATTTTTTCGTTTTTCCTTTCTCAGATTTTGTATTAGTGGCTGTGATATTATTGTCTGAGAAATTTCATTTGAATCCTGATAATTTGGCAACACCGTTAGCGGCATCTATCGGCGATGTCGTATCAATAAGTATACTGTCCTTTATTGCTTCAATATTATTCGATCACATAAGTAAGTCGAAAATTTGTCATTTCAAAATGCATTTTTTTGTTTTGCAAATTTTAAACTTTTTTTTATTAAATATTTTTATTTTACAGAAACCCACTTATGGATCACATTCGTTATAGTCGCTTGTTATTTAATACTTTTGCCTATGTGGGTTGCTATTGTGCTCAAAAATAAATATACTCGTCCGGTATTGAAGAGTGGCTGGGTGCCTGTATTATCAGCGCTGTGTATTAGTGGGTGAGTAATTTAAGAAAATAATTATTTATAAACCCCATTTTATCACACACAGATTCAGAAAAAACAAAAAAGAAGAGAGTCTTAATACCTTTTCATTTCATTTAATTTTAGGATTAGATATCAATTTTCATATGTGAAAAAATTTTTTGTATGGAAAGATATAGTTCTCCGTTTTGGATATTGTATTTGTGTAGAGTATCAAATCTCACGTTTGCCTTTTTGATGGAATTTTGACCCAAAACCTGATATCTGAAGAAGTCCGTTGTATGGGGGCTATATGATCCGTTTCAATTATGTTCGGTAAAAACGTTTATTTGCAGATAAAAATATAGAATACCAAATTTCAAATCCCTGGATGCTTATTTCAGAAAGTTCTCACCCAAAATTTCATATCTGAACAGATCGGTTATATAGAGGATTTCGATGACTATTTTTCGTGTTCTTAGATGTAAAAAATGCATGCATTATGATCGAAAATATAAGTATAAATTTTGATGGGTCTATCTCTATCTCTTTTCTTCATTATACTTTAGAGCATGTCCATGAAGATATAAAAATTAGCCTCGCTAGGGTTCCAGGTCATAGGAATGTAGAAAGCAACGAAATAGCAAATGAGTCCAGGTGCACTTCCAACGTAGCGCGTGCCACTCAACTGGAAAGATGCACGAAATTCACGAATTGTTACGGTGAAAAAACCATAACCCTGCTGTAATGTTGTTTTGGTTGTTGTAGTTTTTGTAGCTGTAACCGAAAATGTATTTCCCAAAGTGGTTCCTGTATAAAGACCCGACAGTTGCGGAAAATATTGGATCTAAACCACCTTGAATGCCTAACCCATTTATATCGCTAACTGTTATAAGTAACGGCATAAAGTAATCGAGACGGATGTATTTCAAACTTCATGGATTGACGGAACGAAACGATTCGTCTGTACATTCGTTCGTTCCTCTGACTATCTGTCCGTCCGTGTCCACGTTAATTCAAGTAAAGTGAAATTCGGTAGACACCCTGATTTGGTCAAACGGGCTGATGAGCCCTCACATTCGACAAAGTTCACGCACACTTCACATATAATGGTAGTTTTAAAAACTATGAAAATCACGATAATTCACTATCTATATATGTATGTGTTTAATTAAAGTCACAAAAAATAGGCGACCGCAATAGCCGACTGACTAGCATTGCGTATTAGCATTCAGAAAACCAGGGTTCCAGTTTTGATTAGATTTGCCCCTCGGCAAATAATGTCAAGTCCTCCGAGTTTATTGCTAATATGAAAATAAAAGTTCCTTATAAAAATCAATCAGACGCTTCAAGACGCATACCACAATTTGGTGGAGAAGCTCGGCCGGAAATAGCTTCAGCGGTTAAAAGAGTCTATTATGTATGAAATGGAAAACTATGAGCGGCGGAAAAAATTCGGTTGGACGTGGCACCACCCACTTTTGAATCAAATAATATATTTATCTTACAGCCACTTTCAAGTAAAAACTAATCTTTTGTTCCATACTCGTTTAACGGACTTTCCATTTACCGCTTGACTAAAGTTCGAATATTTAAGGGCTTAATCAACCAAACTTGGTTTGTATGCTATTTTTAAAGGAGACTAAAGTGCTACCAAAAGTAGCTGAGTGGGTCTGTTATCTATTTTTGACCGCTCTTTAGCCCCTAGCGATAGCATGGTTTTGGGGGAAAAAAATCTCTTCAACCATTTTTTTTTATAAAAATTAAATATCTAGTTCAAACCATTAACTGTCTTAACTATACCCATTTGAAAAAGAATTTTTTAAATTTTCAATCAAAAATATTCATAGTTCAGCTATTGTAACATCATTTCCGTTAACACCTCGAAGAAAAAGTTGCATCTGCGTTGACAGTAGAACTCATGACAAGCTCATCCAAAGTGCAAAAAGCGCTCAGCTTACCAGCCTTTGAGGGCACAACTTCCCAATGCTGAATCTCCGAAACTTTCATTCAATTCGACTCGAAAATATAGGTCAATATATTTGCTTTCTGTCACAGTTTTCCTGTCATTAGCTAAAATTCGAACTTTGCTCAAAACCACTTAAATTATTTTATATGCCATTCAATGTACCCGAAAAAAACCCAACGCGAAGCAAAAAAGCAAAACTTAACAAATAAACAAAAAAAAATATTTGACATTAAAAGTCCAAAAAAAAGGCCGTGTACAGATGAACAGCTGAAATTGACGTCATACACGAAAGTTGAAGTGCATAAATGTGCTACCACAAACATTTGTGTATCATATGCTCCCTTGGAGTAATACAATATGTACTCCTCTATAGTGTAATATTGGACCAACTTACGTCTCGCTACTAGCATGTTGTAAGCCGATGATGTTTTAAGGATCGCAATTCTCATATATACAAAATGCAAAACTCCTAAAGGGTATTTTTTTTCAAATAGTTTATTTCAATGAGGCAGTACTTTTTTCGGGGTTGGTCTTTTTGACCGCTCCTACTTGATTAATACTCAGTTTGGTTTGCTTTTTCATACTAGACAGACTTACGCCGCTACAAAGTTTGCAAATCGTGCAAATTTATTACGATAATAAAGATTCAGCTCACGACGCAACACACAGTATTTGATCGACATAATTTCACAGTAGAGATGCCTTACAGTGCGCACCGAATACGCTAGCTCTGCTGTAGGGCAGAGTTTCGAAGAAGACCCATTCACCACAACTATTGCAACTGTGCCCACTTTACAGCAGCTTTTTGATTAACGGGCTTACAAAATCCAACTTGCGCAAGGAATTGAAACCGAACGACCATCTAGCGCGTCGCATGTTCGGTGAATGGATCACTGATCCCGATTTTTCCAAGAAAATTTTGTTCAGTGATGAAGCTCACTTGCTCCTTGTATGGGTAGTTAATAAATAAAATCGTCTATTGGAAACAGTTGAAGGCGAATAAAGCAGGATCTGACTATATTTGTACCAAACACTGACTTTTTGAGTATGTAATAGCCACTTAACAACGGCTCGTGGACTATCGTCACTCCAAATGCGGCAAAATTTTTTTTATTAACGACCCATTCAACCACAGGTGAGCTTCACCGCTGTTCATTATGAAATGTCAAACAAAACTGAGTAAAAACCCAGTAACAGCTGTCAAAAAAAACAACCCCGAGAAACAGGAGTGCGTCATTGAAAACCACACGTCTTAAAAAAAACATTTTTTATTAGTAATAAATTATGACTATTAATATAAATTTATACGATAATTATTATGTTTTACTAACTTTTCACCAAAGCGTATTGTGTTCGAAACTAAAAATTACGTTCGAATGTAAATTTTTGCATATTCTGCGCAAAGTAACCCACTCTAGGTACTTTATGGAGTACTCTTGTAGAGTAGTAAAGCGCATGGACCAGCTAAATAATTAAATCATATTTTTTTACATGGATTGTTTTTAGTTTTGGATCACTCTCTTGCTCGGGCGGAGTATATATTTCACGCTGGCAATGAATAATCGCGTTGTTCGCAGGGTTTGCTTGCATACTTAATTTAAATTTTATTTATATTTATATTACATTGTAATATTTCAAAAGATGCAAAAAAAAATTGCAAGTCATTCACTTGAATAGAGGAAAAAAAATTATTTACGAAAAAACTACATACATATAAGAGTTTGTAGCTATAAATAGCAGAATTCCTCAAAATATTGCTCAAGTACTTGTGTATGGTATTCATTTACGTATTTGCGTTTCGTCAGCTACTTACTTACCAGTTTTGAAGATTAGACTTTCACAGAAAAAAAAACACTTCAACTTTCAATTTTAGGATTAACTACAAAAAAACGACCACCTGTGACGTATTTATGAGGATTAATTAATTTGACTATTAATGAAAATTAAACATTTCATTTATTTATTTCACACTTTAAATAAATAAATTAAAAAGATAAAATAATTGTTTATTTTTATTTTCAGACTTGGCGGTCTTGTACTCGATGCCTCTGTGGAGATCTTCAGCGGATTTGTTGTTTTTCAACCAATTATTAACGGTATTGGTGGCAATTTGGTATCGGTACAAGCGAGTAAAATCTCAACAATGCTCCATCAGAGTTCAATTATTGGTATTATACCACCGCATACGAAAATTTTCGAATGGCCCTGGAAAGCGCTGTTCAAAGGAGGTAAGCGAGCACAATTTTTTTTATTAATATTTAATTTTGTTATAGATAAATACATACTTATATGTATATATTTTTGAAATACTTTAAGAAACTAACGACGCTGTTCTAACGAGAAATAAGAGCTGTCTTCGTCTAGGTGGAAGTTTTTATACCTTGCATGAACATATTAAATTTATGGTATTTATGTAAGAATTGATTTATCCTCGCAGATGCATTTTAACGGACTTATAATTCCAAATCTCATATAATAAAGGCTATGTGAGGTGGGAAGGCAGCTTGGAATAAACAGTAGGTCCAAATCTCATATAATAAAGGCTACGTGAGGTGCGAAGGCAGCTTGGAACAAATAGTAGGTCCGTCCGTTTGTTTGGAAAAGATCAAGGCCACATCACAAATTTGAGTGGAAGTTCGGCCGAAAATAGCTTCAGTGTTACCACTGAAAGGGTCTATTACATGTTATATTTTCTCTTCTCTTTCTGGTACTGACATATAATATTTCGAACCCTTTTATGTACATGAAAGGTATACAAATTGATTTGGCAGCGAGTTGGAGTGCTGACTCGGTTTCAAAAAGGTGTTCAGCAAAATGAGTAATACAAACAGAAAGTAAATCATATTTCTCTTTTCTGCATTTATTATGAGATCTTGCTACATATGTACCAATATTTTCGGCTTCATACTTATGTATGAAGTCAGAGATAATGCCTTATAACATCGGATTCTGCAGTGTCCTGTTAGTATACCATAAATGATTCTAAAATCATTTTAACAGTGTAAAAATAATTATTTGAATTTATTGATATTGTAGCTGCCTACGAGTTCTTTGTCCTATTTCAGACCAACTAACTTTTATCAATACCTCTTTCTGCTGATCTTAACTCCACTTTAGTTGTATGGCATTTTAAAGTAAATAAATCACATGAGTCAAAGCAATATGATTTCTGAAGTGTTTGACATTTATTATCGGTCCGAATTTAGACAGCACAAAAGCAATTTGAAATATTAGATACTAATCAATTACTTACGCACGCTCACAAAGAATTTTATGAAGACCACTTCGCCTAAAAGAAAGATTAAAATGCCAGTTAAAAACTTTTAATTTTTTCTTATGTTCTTTTTTTTCTTAAATTTGTATTATCTCATAAGAAAAGCAAAAATTGTTGATAAACAACAATTCTAAATTTCATCAGTATCTACCACTGTCATCAATAAAAAATGACGCAGGTTAGACATAATCATGCTCTGATCTTAAAAATGTAGCTTTTCTGACTCGATAAACCGAATTCAGATGCCACCTGGCCGTATGAAAAATGATTCAACAAGTTATAAAAATACGGACTAAATTTATAATATTCCATAAAAATCACAACAACTGTTTTCCTGATTTCTGTGCTACACAACAGAAAAACAATTTTATATACTCGTATACATTGACTGAATTTGGGTCTTTTCGATTTTTTTCTCTTAAATTAGTACAAAAAACATTTCCGAATTTGGGTTTTCTGTCTATTTTTCTGTTGTTCACAATGGTTTGTGGGCACCTTTTGCTGAGGCACTTGTAGAGTTTGGCCTTTCTCCGTGAAGAGAGCAGCTTAGCTTCCTTTTCAAATCCCCACCCAGTCCAAAGTAGCCACTGTTGGCAAGAGTGATGCTGCGTCGGATTTCAAGGCTGTTATTATCATTGATGTTAATTGATGTCGGTACCTAGATAGACGGAATTATCTATGACCTTGAAGTTATGACTGTCAACAGCGACGTGGAAGCCAAGATGCGAAAGCACTGATTGTTTGTTTGAAGACAGGAGATATTGTGTCTTGTCCTAGTTCACAACCAAACTTATACTTACTTATCCAGTCTTGAGAAAGCTATCGTTGAAGCCAATGTTGTATTCAAATCAGAAGCTCGTATTATTTTCTCCAGCAATAAATTAAAGACGACAACTGAGGTAGCCGAGTGGCTAGCATTGCGTACTGCCATTCGGAAGGCTTGGTTTCAAATCCACTTGTGATCAACATACAAGAAAATTAATTTAAATAATAAATTAAACTAAATTTTCTAATTGTGGTCGCCCTTCGGCAGGGAATGTCAAGTACTCCGAGAATGAAATTAAGCTCCTCATTAAAAAGCCATCAGCCATTCGGAGGCGGCTTAGTATAAACTGTCCCTCTATTTGTTGAGAAAACATCAAGACGCAAAACCACATATTGGAGGAGGAGCTCGGCGGCAAATCGCTTGAACGGTTACAAAGCGCCAATTTTATGTATATAATAAATAAAAGAAGTCAGACGATAGAAAATCACCTTGTGTAAAACCTTTTTTGGTATCGAATGCCTCGGAGAGATCCTTTCCCATTCTGGCGGCATTTTTCGTGTTGCTTAGCATCAGTTTTCCGAACCGTATAAGTTTTGCGGGTATACTTAATTCCGACATAGCGGCTGATTTAAGAGGGTGTGGGGTTTGTCAATCATCTTTTCTCTTGCCTTTTCCAAGCTCTGGCGCATGGTGAATATTAGTCAACTGTATATTTGCTTGGCCTTAAGCCACACCATATACTATCGTGCATATTATATGCGCTAATGAACAGCCTTATACAACGATAGTTGGCGCAGAGTTTACAAAAAAACTGTTGCATTCGCTTTGTTAGTTCTTTGCCGCCATATTTGAATGGCACCGCCGGCAATCTAGTAGCCCCCGACACTTTGTATTTTTTCCCCCGCGGCCAATTGCTATTCGAATTTCTGCATAGTTGCACAATGAAACATTTTCTCTGTTGTCGTCGATTGGGGAACCGTGTTCACCATCTTCTGGTCTTTCCAATTTCATTGGCATTCGACAGGCAGCAGAAGTGTGCCCTCCATAAACTCAGTATACTCTGGACATCGACGAATAGATCAGCTCTATTGCAACCTTCTGCAAATCGTCGTATCTTTTCGTAGAATTTTCAATCATTAACACTATCAGCCAGCTTTTCAAGCCTATCATACTCACACTTCGTGGCCTCTTTGTTTTATTTGTCTACATACACGTATGCGTCTCTCTTCAGCTATGAGAATTAATACTTAAACCTAAAATGAAATACCATAAAACTTGGCATGGTCTAGTTTTAACTCCAACGTTTATAACAGTTTATTGTACTTATATAAAAAAAAAAAAAAAAAAAAAAAAAAAAAAAAAACCAATAAATGAATAAAAGAAAACATAAAACAATATTGCAAATCGAACAATTAATATGATTCTTTCGAAAAAAAAAAAAAAAAAAATCTACGCTCTAACTCTGTGGCTTATGCAAATCTTATTTTTTGTTAAAATAACAATAAAAATATATAAATCAACTAATAACAATTTTGAATCGAAAAATACTTATTTCAATTAGTTTTAATTTGAATTCCAACATTTCAACATTTTCCTTTCACTTTCTTTCAGTTCCATACGCTAAAACGGCGCGTATACTGCTCGGCATGTCGATTCCCGGCAATATTGTGTTCGTGTTAGTTGCCGATTATATACATATGTCGAAATCGACAGTTACTATTGCCTTTGTCCTATCCTTCCTAATGGCGAGTTTGATTCAGGTTGGTTGTTTAATATTGTAAACTCATAAATTTTTACTAATTTTTCATTACAATTTTAGGTTATGTTACTCTTGTACATTGCACACGTTATTGTGCATGCAATGTGGAAATGGAAAATCGATCCCGATAACTCATCGATACCATATCTAACTGCGCTGGGCGATTTGCTGGGCTCCAGTTTACTAGCGGTGGCCTTCTTCTTTCTACTTTCGATCAATCAAGAATACGGATCCGAACTGAATGAACTCAACGCTTCGAACTGAAAAGAGAATTGTTGAAAAATAAATAAATATTTGAAAAGCGCAAGTAAATAAATGTGCAATTGTGCTGGAAAATCTTGTTGTGCTCTAACAAGCACAGGGTGGTCCGCAAGATTTTAGCAAACGAAAAAAATACTTAAATTCAAAGGCTTTAAAGTGTTAAAACAAACAACAAAAAAAAGTAACGAGAAAAAAGTGTGCGAGTATGTAAGTGTGTGTGTATATAAATGAAAGTCGGTTTGTGTTGAGCCAGCAACAAAAATACACGATAGCACGCACGCCTACCAACCTTCAGTACGTACCTTAAGAACATTAATTTATTTTTTTAAGCCATGCCATATTCGAGTATAATAAAATATATTACATTATACATATAAATAAAGAAATAAAAAAAATAAATAAAAATAATAATTTAAAATATATGGAAACATTTAAGGAAAACTATTATTTTCTTTTTTATGTATTTGTAAAAAGTTATAACTTTCTATGTAAAAAGAAAAGAACGAAATGCGAAAGTTTTGGTCAGAAATGGATTAAAAATCATAATAACAAATTTGAAAGCTATACAAATTTAAAAAAAAGTTGTTTGTGCGTGTACATTTGTAATAACGGTAATACAAAATATGTAGTTAAGCAAACGGTTTACAAGAGGAAATCAAACGAATACGATAATAATTGCAAGACAAGTACATATGTTATGCATATAATACATATTTACAAATATGTTTGTGTGTACATATGTTAATTGAATTGTTTACGAACTCGTGTTACTGTAAAAAATAAAATAAATAAACTATTAATTATGTATACTGAAATTTGCTGGTATTCAAAAATAAGGCCTAAAAAACATACAAAGCATGTATGTATGTATATTTTAAATAAATTATGAAAAGACTTGCATACACATAGTATTATACGTAATAAAGTAACAACTGCATACATGCATATATAATTATGTATATGTATGTATGTAGGCATGTTACAAATGCAATTAGAAACACGTTTTCTCCCCAGTAACAAACCGATAAAATACAATAATATTGTTAATGATTAAATGCGTAATAAATTAATTAGCACACACACCAAAATCAAAGCAAAAAAGATAAAAATTAAAAGCAAAAATAAAGGAAAAAATTAAAAAAAAATTAATAAAATATAAAATATATATATAAAGAAAAAATTTAAAAACAAAATAAAGCATAGTTCAATAATAGCAAGCGTATTAAGATATGAGTGCAGCATTGCAACTTGATATATTTTTTTAACAATTTTTTCCATAAATTAATTTCCAATTAAATTTTTTGTTTCACTGAGTATATTATAAAATAGTTATAAATGTATTTAAATTGAATTAAATAACAATTAATAGAAAGAATAAATAAATGATAAATATTAAAAAAAAATAAATAAGAGTAAAAGAAAAAATTAAAAATAATAATAATAAAACAAGCTAACGCAATATAATATGCATAAAAATTCATAAAAAATTAAACAAAATAATAAATTCAATTAAATTAAATAATAAACTAAATTGAATTAATTTATAAATAATTTATATGTAGTAAATTACACTTTGTTGCAATGCAAAGCTATTAAAAAAATAATGAAGAGAGCAAAATTAGAAATAGCATCAACTCAATTATTAAATATAAAAATAAAACTTGTAACCAATTGTAGAAAAAAATGCTTTAAATTGAATTGAACTGATTTTAGAGCATCCCCAGCAGCTGCGTTTGTGTTTTGCTCCACAGCTCAATTATGTATTCTACGAGTATTTGTCATATATATATATTTTTTTTTAGTCCACAATGCCCTGAACCACCGTTTATAAAGATGTATTGTACATTGATATACATATGTACATATAGTATGTAGGTATGCTTGCTGTACCACTTTCACTCTAACATTGCTAAATATATATATATATATATATATACATATGTGCGAGTATATGCTTTGTTCAATTATGTAACTTAATACGCTACTGTTAACTTAAAAAACATAAGCTTAAAAAATTAAAGAGAAAAAAAAATGAATTTAAGTTAATTTAGAAAATTCTAAAACATTTTACTACAAAAATATTCAGATTTCATTTTGGTAAATCTGCGCCAGTTTTATTTGTTTTATTTATTATTTTAATGCTTATTTAAGTATTAGTGGTAAAAAAAAGTATGAAAACATTGTAAAAATTAAAGAATTTAATTAAAACTAATTTGAAAAAGTAATATAATTAAGTTAGCCAATGAGTTAAAAACAAAACAAACGAACTATGTCTGTTCCAAACATTTTAAATATGCTTTGTTGATGTAAAAAAAAACTTACTTTTAATATTTCCATAATATTAAATATCTAACAGTTTCTTAATTTAAATGATAATTTTATTTTCATTTTTTATTAATTCTTTTTTTTTGTCCTTATTTAGTTTTTATTCCAGTCACGTTATATTTTAGCGTGTGCTTGCAGTTGCGTGCCGGTTTTTATGAGAAATGTGATCGATATTAATTAGTTAATTGTAAATTATATGTATTTAAATTGTAATTATGTTATATTATAAATAATTAATTTTTCTTTATATAAGTGTATGTATATGTTCATTATGAAGAGCGAACTTCTTTTAGTAAATTAAAAGGTTAAATAAAAAATAATTAATTAAATACGAAATAAATAAAATGAAAAAATTAAAAAACAAAAATATTTAAAAAAAAAAGTTCTTTTATATACATATATACATAATTTTGATGAAATCGACTCAAAGAAATGGTTCGCGATCGTACTAACGAGTCTTGCCGTCTCCTAGATTATACATATAAAGAACGCAAACGCACTTAGTAGTGCAAAAATTAATTCGGTCCGTTTTATATGTTCGAAAAACTGTTTTTTTATTGAAAATGAAATGAAAAAGAATACATCATTTAAAGTATTGTCCTTCGGAGGTGTCTACTTTACCTCATCTCCCTGAGAATTTTCGAAAATCATCTTATTGAGTCATTCTTCGATTTCTCGTATGGGCTCCAAATCGGTTTTCATCCGTCGAAAAACACATTAGTTCCTGCTAAGGTCTGGCAAGGTCTGGAGAATACGACGGGTGGAATAGAGCCTTCCATTTCAACGTTTCCGAGTAGATTTTGACTGTTAAATTCACATTGTTATAGTTGTTGTTGTGGTTGCGGCGCGCTAGCCCCTCTAAGGAGCAGGCAAGATCAGTCTAAGTCATCGAAGTCATCTAAAGAGAGGTTGGTGTGCATGCAAAGAGGTGGTTAGTGTCGTGCGGGGACTGATTGTATCCAGAACATAAGTTTGTCTGTATGTATGTCGCGGTCAAGTCTGAATAGGTTTATGACTACTAGAATATCCACATCTTATCGTATCAGTATTATTTTGGCAGCTCGAGCTCTTTTATCTGCAATAGATAGTTCATGAAGCTGTTGATGGGCTCACGGGGAAAGGCATATAAAACCTGTTGGGTTGCCGTCCTGTCAAGTGGTTCTTGTTTATAGTGCTGTATGGAGTAAATTTAGTTTGGAATCTCCTTTCCAATGTGTTTGGGTGAAGGTTCAATTAAATATCTGCTGTGATGGTATCGTTAAGACCAGCAGATATTGCTTGTCCACCTTAAGATTGTGATTCTCAACTTTTTTCGCTGTGTAAGAGATGCATTAGTGATATCAAGAAGGTTTTCCTTAGCTTCTTCAGCTGCGTCTCTCTAGTCTCCGGCGTTTGTATTGGATATATATATGTAATTTTCATGATAACCGGTTGTAAGCGCCAGAGTAAATCTGGATGTTATCCGCTTACAAGGTGTTACACCCCGGCGACATATCCCTGTTTAGGTCATCAGCCAATTCTAGTGGTTCTCGATCTAGAAGCTTGATAACGACCACCCAGATAATTTAAAGTCCATTACTTGAAACTGACGGTAGTTATGAATCCTGATAACAAGCATAGTAAACCGTATGAAAAGCCCTCGACAAGTTGAGTTTATCAGAACAATTCACTTGCATGGTCGGTTTTGATAGAGCGTTTAGTACATTGTACCGCTTCGATAGGCCAGAAAAATCTTTGGACAACTTTAACAGAAATTTTGGCAACATACTGAAGGTTTCAATTTAAGGCATCTTGGTGTTGGAGCAAGTGGTGACCTGATCACTGAGGCTTACAGCATACTTAGTTTAAGAAAAATCTATAAATGCGTCGCGATAGAAATGTGTATTCAATCATGTCGATGACAATAAAGGTTATACATTTTTATATCAAATATAAGTAAATTAAAAAACCTTAAGATCTAAGATCTAGGCAAAATATATGCCACTCTGTATTTCTTTTTATTTTTACTCGTGCTGTACATAAAAGCAGGGTGGTACCTTATTTCGAGTCTCGTTCGATTCTCTAAAAGCGCGAATGTTTATAACGTTTGTCTTGTTCGATTATGGTTTTGTTTAATAGTGATACAATATATTTTTCTGTGGTACATAAATATACGCATTGATAATATACTAATAACTAAAAAGTGGTCATTTAAGCCCTATTTACTCTAGTGTTGGTAGCCTGTTACTCTACATCATTAAAAGTCATCTTTTTTGAAATATCTTATTGGAAATATACGGCATTATTCGGAGCAGGAAAACTACTTGGTGCTTGTATAGATTGCCTTAGACCTTAACGACATTTACACAATAGTATTACAATGCAACATCCTCGTCGTACTTCAGAGTTCCATGATGATATTGGCACGGCCACTAAGCGGAACTCGCGGTAAGTATGCTAAATATATAATTGTGAAAAAAATCATTTATTAAAATTTATTCAGGAGCACTCAATCGCGCCCAAGCCGCATTGCACGACCACACTCAATGGAGCGGCAAAATGCAGGACTGCCTAGTTCAGCCCCTCGGGGCAGCAGAACAACACCTCAGAAATCACTGCAGGTGAATGGTGTTACAGATGCACCAGGCACTGCAAACAAGTACTCAAGCAGGTAAAGAAACTAAAATATTTGATGAACTTATATTTACATAGTAAATTTTATACAGAACAAGCCGCATTGCACGACCTTCATCGATGGAACGTCAAACACTAGGACTGCAAAGTTCTGCGTTACGCGGTACAAGAACAACTCCACAGAAAACACCAACTTCAAATAGCAAAATTACGCGTGTGCTTTTCACTGCCGAAAAACAGCGCAATGCTCACAATGATAAAAGGTGGGTACAAGAGCGAGCTCAACAGATTTCAGAATATTTACGGGAAACCGCCAAACCAGGTGCAGTGCACGGTTTACCAAGTGAATTCTTTGCGCGTAGTGGTTGTCTGCGACAAATGTCAACCAAGCAATTTGTAGCAATTGTCAATCATTTCCTACACTTCATTTGGGGTACTCGCTTCACAGTGGGTAGTAATTATGTTGATGATATCATTAATATTATGCAAAAGTTGCAATATCCACACCAAATAAACAAATCATGGTTAAAGACACCGAATACAACTCACTCATTTGGTTTTGTAATAGAATTGTTTGACTTTTTTATGGATTTTGTGCCACCAAAAAATGAAGAGGAAGCAATCGAAATGGAATTTGAATTTCAAGATCCCGAACATTTAAACCAAAATTCACTAATGCAAGAGTCACCCGATGCCGAATTCACAGCGCTAGTATTACAAAATTCAGAAGAGGGTTTCAAACTCTGGGATAAACAACTGGAAGATGAATTATTCAATCTGCAGCAGCAGACATGTGATGTACTAATTTACAAACGTTGTGGCATACAAGATGTGACATCGCTAGATGCGCATTTGGATGAGCTAAGAAATGAATTAAGCGATGTGCGAAAAAAACGTCCACATATAAGCGAGGAAGATGAAGAGCGTTGCCTTCGTTTCAAAAATGAGCTCAGAGAAACAAGACAACAGCTCGATATAGCACAGGAAACGCTTGAAGTAACGACAAAAAAACTTAGTGAATTACAAACTGAACGACAAGAGTGCAAAAGTGACTTTATGCAAATGTTGGAAAAAGTTGAAGAAATAAAAAGTTCTCTCGCCAAACAAACAATAAGTTCAGAACAACGTGACACTTACATCCAAGAACTAGAGCAACGAAAGTACACACTGCAGTGCATGGAACGCACACTACGCGATGTGGAGGGTCGGCAGCATCATCAACAAGTCTTAGTATCACGTCATAAAAAACAACTAACTGATCAAATCTCCAAATATAATGATCACATACGTGCGATTAGCTGCACTAAATTGGCGTGTGATGCCGGTGCTCTCCAATTGCCACTCCACCCACAAATTGAAGATGTTAACGAGTGCTTGAAGTTGTTAGAGAAAACACGAGCAGCTAAGCAACACAAACAACAACAAGCCATGCAACAAGAGCAAGAACTGGAAAAGCAAGCGCAGGAGCTTAATCATAATATAATATCATCTTTAAGACCGAAATGTGCTGAATTAGAAACAGCGCTCAAACACGCTGAACGTAATAGCAAAGAATTTGCCAAGAAAATGCATAAACAAAGTTCTGCAATGAAGGCACAATTGCAGGAATTGGAAGCACATCTGCAACAGTTAGAAGTCGATTACAAGTCTCTGCAGAATACAAAGCATGAGAAGCAAATGTTGTTGGAAAAATTTGAAAAGCAAAATGAAGAATTAATGAATCGTGCTGAAGCAGAATATAAAGCGGCAGCAGATGAGCGCGAGGCGAGTCTTAATGAATATGAGAAAAAGCTTGAACAGGCAAATGCGATTTTAGTGGAATTCGCAGATGAAATTGAAAAACGTGATTTATTATTGAAGCGCATAGAGGAAGAGAAGGTAAAAGAATGAATTATGCTTTTATTATATTTTATTCGGTTTTTTTTTAATAAGTTTAATGGAATGGAATTATTAGTTTATATGTTTTTCGGTTTGAATATTCTCAATATTAAATACACAATTTATTGGAATATACAAGTATACATAATCATGTTACATACATATATAATTTAATTGCTACATTTAAATATTCTCAATAACTTGCCCAAATACAATGTTCTATGTTCAAATGTCTGTTTTTATTTATTTATTATTATTTTTCTTTGCTGAGTTGACTTGAAAATGTCTATGGATTAAACAATTCCAACAAATTTGCTACATAATGGTAGCATTTCGATAGTTTTTATGGAATCTTAAGTTGTGCAATCGAAAATAAAACATTTTACTTTCTTGTTGCTAAGTTTTGACTTGATTTGATTTTGGCTTCGTGAAAGTGCTTTTCCCCAGCAAAAAAAATCCTTGCAACACGGTTGCTGCGGTTGCATAATTTTCATTTTCTTTTTCATTTCCGGTTGCCAGCTATCGTAATCGTACTATATAACAATGTTTAATGTTTATGTATTTGTTGCATTTTTTTTGGATTACTTATGTATTCTGTATTTTTTTATTTATTTGTTTTTTTTTTCTTTCTTTTTTTTGCTTTAATTATTGCCACACACAGTTCAGATCATAACGTTTGGGTTATAGCTGTAATTTTTTGAAGGTCATTGGTTTTGTGTTGTTTTGTTTATTTAAATATGAATTGCACTTGGAACGGCTACAAAATATTTTACGATTAAATACGTGTACTTATGAACTAGTATGTAAGTGATTAGGACGATTTAGTGCTTATAATGGATGATAAACATATACAAATAATAAATATATATACAAATTATACTTGATTTTGTATGAAAATGTCTTGTAAATTTCTTGACGCAAAAAAATTCTTTGGGCTATACTTTTATAGTTTTCAAAATTAAATAAATACTAAATTAAAATATAATTTAAATTTAATGCATTATCAAACTTCTCGTATGTTCTTTAAATTACAAAAAATCGAGTTCAATAATGAATAATAATAAATTCATTTATATAAATTATAAAGAAAGAATTTTCAAAGAAGTTTGAAAGAAATAGAATATCTAGCATTTTTCGCTGAATTCATACAATGAAAACATCACAATTACCACGCGTCGATTCATTGGCCACATCTGTGCCACAAGTTGGCGTTGGTAATGGTGGCGCTTTGGGTTTATTCAATACATCTGCTTCACGTCCGATTTCTACAATACCTTGTTGCAATAAATGTTCCTCAGCGCTAATATCTATTTCGCTTTCGCCTTGACCACTCGTATTCTTACCAGCCGAAACAACCTCATCTTCATCTAGTTCTTCAGCACTATCAATTGGCTTCTCACTACCACTACTGCTGCTGTTACTATGCAAAGTATTTGGTTTCTTCTCATCCTCTATATGTATATTTACACATTCCGGATCATCAATGTTCTTTTGGAATGTTATCGATATTTCTTGTGGTTGTTCTGGTAATAATTGTGACGTTTTAGACGCTATTGCTGTGCTAGTTTCGGCATCACCAATGCCTACGGTAGCAGCCTGTGTGGGTGGTGTGGTAATAGATGACCACCAGGTGGAGAATGTGCCCTTCGCCTGCGATAGTGCAACTCCTGTGAATGTGAATGTAGTAGGAATAGAAATTTTATAATTATTTGTCAATATATATATATATATATATACATATTTATTTTTTTATATTTATATATATATTTTTTTATATTTATTTAAGTATATTTTTTTATATATATATTTATTTATTTATATATATATATATATTTATATAAATTTTTATTTATATATATATTTATTTCTATGTTTTTATGTTTATGTTACTTACCTACAACCCGACTGGTTGTATTGACGGCCTGATTGATTTTGCGTCCACTTTCGCTATTTTGCATTGTCCTTAAAAAGGGAAAGCAAAGAATTTTAAATGTGGTGGAACTGTTAAAAAATATATATATATTTTTTTACATACTGCGCAATTTTTAGCTTCATATCGGCCACAGAAAGTGTGCCAGCAAAGGGATGACCAGTGGGTAGGGCGTCAAAGAATTCAGTATCAGGACGCACATCATACCATTCTTGGAAACATTGCGTACGTTTAAATGCCTGCATAAAGTGCATGTTATAGTGTTCGTTGTCCTTCGCCGTAGCATCTAAGTAGATTGATTAAAGTGAAAAAATTTAGTTTAAATACAAACCAAATGTGAAAGGCGTTAGGTAATCATATAGTACACACCAACAGCAACTGCAGTACGTAATAACGCTAGTATATAGCCTTGAAACTGATCACGTATCCAATGCTCACTGCCCTCTGCGTCTTCTTTGGGCGATTGCACATGTTTCAGCAAATAATCCATGAAACGTAAATCTTCTGTACTCAACACCAATTGGCGGCGTACCTCTGCATCTAACATATCAATATTGGCATTTTCTACATCTACCAATACATCGGCAAGTTGACGTTTTTGTTGGAATAGTACATTCGAGGTGCCTATGACATAGCTCAGTACAGAAGGATCACTAAGTAGATCCATATATGGCAAAGACAGATATGGCAAGAAGAGATTACCGCTGGCAAATATTGAAATAGGGGCGCGATATTCATCTGGATTTATTGAAGACAAAGTGCATAGGGCGGCTGCAATCAAAAAAAAAATAATAATAATCATAATGAATTATCAACTATTTGTAAAAAAAAAACCTGCTATGAGTTTCTGCACACAAAGTTTTTCGTTTTAGGCATTTAAATATAATATTTTCAATTCTTATGACATCATATTAAAATTGCAAACTTACATGCCAAAGTATCTACACTGCCTTCACGGGTTAGTGACTCTTTACGGGCAAACCGCTTGTTTCCAACTTCACCGCCATTACCCTCTAACGAGTCCAAGCGATTTAACTCACGTATTGATTGTGACGATGATGTTGTATTGGTGGATGTGTCATCTGTAACCGCTTGACTCGCTGCCGACATTGCAGACGATATCAAAGTGCAATCGTCTACAGTATTAGCAACGTTTGCACTGCCGCTGCCACTACCACTACCACCGTTCTCATTATCACTTTCTCCCTCACAACCGCCTTCAACAATTTCTTCATTGGCTTTACTTTCTAAAGCGATTGTTGACACCGTTTCCACACATTGTTTCAATTCAGCAGCTTCTTGTTGTATGGAGTCGGTGAAATCTGGCATTGGCGATAGGGGTCGCGATGTGCGCACACAAGCTACTTCTTGAAACCCTTTTTCCAGCAGACGCGGTATTAATGATGCGACACCCAACAGAAGTACACACATGCCACGGACTGGTGAGCCAAAGCACACCACACGTCTTTGTAAAAGGAACAGTTTGAAAAGTATGAGTACTTTGTGACGCCAGTGTAAAACGATTTCACGTAACGATAAACCCACGTAAAAATTACGAAGTGGACGTTGCGTTTCATCGTCCAGTAGGCAGGCATTGAGTTGTTGATAGGCTTTTATTAATAAATCCGTAGAAGAAAAATCTCCTTTCTCGAAGAATGCATCTGCAATCAAAGAGAGTTTCACCTCTATATAACCATAAATTGGTAGGCGGGCCAGTATGACTATTGATTTTTGTACAGTGCTACGTGTCATATCTGCTGTGCGTATTTCTAATTTCTAAATAAATAAAAAGTTCGGTTTTAGTTTCGGCTTAAAAAATTGTTTAAGTAAACGATTACCTCAATAGGTATTTGTCGATAACACGATACACCATATACACTTTCTGTTGGTTCAGTAAGACTAGGTAAATTGAAAAACACTGTATCCTCGCTAAAGTTATGTGAACCATCGGGTAGCGCTAAAGTGGGTAAATATTTCCAACCTGATGGACATTCATTTTTACCTGTTGTCCCTTGTATAAGCGGTGGATACGAGAACTCGACCTAGATAAAACATGGAAGCGCAAAATTATTTTGATCCCTCCTGTGTAAGTTTTATTTTGTGCCTACCTGACAGCCTAATTTGTGATGGAATCCAACAACCAATATATGCAGTATTGGTGGCCTATTCTCTGCAGTTGTCGATGAAGCCATTGTTCTTCTTGTGACTTTCGCAATACAATTTGTTTGCCTCCGCTATTGGAGATATGCGCATACATACAACCACCGATTAATGCCGCAAATTGTTTACATACACAATTTTTCAGAAATAATCATATCTATTCTAATATAATTACTAAATCAATTCATTGAAAGCTTTTTCATATAATCAACACTCTATATTCAATTTAAGTTATCTGTATTATTTTTTTTATAGTTTTTAAGGTTTTGCGTTTAATTTTTTCACAACAGTCTGACAATGATTTTTTCGCAAATTGTTTGTTGCAACGCCAATGACAAGAAATGTCAACTTCATTGTGACTGTACGTGAATTTTATATCGTGAATGTTTTTGGCATTGTCAAAACACACTGAAAAAAACTTACCAATTTATTTATATTCTGATTTGAAAATATTAGCGTACTTTTAGGCCGAGTTTGAAGAGTTTGGATATTTTTTTTTATACAAATTATTTATTAACTGGTAGAATTAATTTGAAGCAGTTATTGGAAAATTATTTTTACAGCATATATCCCACGAGTTAATTATTTACAAGAGCGTCTGAAGCTCACATTCTAGTGAGTGATTATAATTAAGTATATTCAACAAAACTAAGCGTTATTTATTTACATTTATTATACTTTTTTTAATTTTTATTAGCAAACAAAAATGTTGTGTAACAAATTTTGGGAAAAGTGTTCCTACCTAAAGACCCGCTCCTCCAATTCCGTAGAATCTATAGAATTTGCTGTTGTGATATTATAGTTATGAACCCGAACTCTGTGCAGGACTCTTTCGCACATTAGTGACTAATCTCGACTAGCCTGCGTAAAAACAGTCGGTCGGCTATTATAGAAAGTAAAAAACATGCATTTTCTTTTAAAATATATCATTTTTTATTTTCATATCTATCATTAAGACAAATTATAACAATGTAATTTTTTTTATAAATGTTTAATTCACATGTTTTTAGTAATTACATTGTAGTTTTCTAAAAAGTTATTTATTTTCACAATTGAAATTCGTTCTCACAAATACCGTCTTTCCATAAAAAAGACTTTCTCAAATCCACTGTTATGGAATTTAAGCTTTCTAAACAATTTGTTTATGATTCTAACAATTAAAGTTGACAAAAAAGTATTTTCATCATATTTTATAATCTGTAATCATATGATCAACCCGTTTAAATTGTGGCATTTATACGTACATACGAACACTATGTACTAAAATTCTTTATCCCTCCGAAAACGTCATTCCATTGGTTTTGCACATACAAACGTTATGTGTTTTAATTTTTGTATTTGTTTTTTTTTTATTTTTTTTTAATAGTGTATGTATGTTTGTTGGTTTGCAGTATTTTCTATATGACAAATGTTCTTGTATTGAATTAGTTCACATCAAAAATATTCAATGTACACATTTAGTAATCAGTAATCTATAATGTTTTCATAACAGTTCATTATTCTGATTTTAAATTCTGCTGATTTGATTTTATTTAGTTTTTTTTTGTTTATTAATATATATATGTTTGTTTGTAGCTTTGTAGGTATTTTTTTTTTAAACAAATTTTTTGGTTGTAAGTGATTTTCTTTTTAATCGTTTGCAAAATTTGTATCGGCATTGATAAAACAGGCCAATACAATTTAAAGAAAAAGTTCCAATTCTGAAACTATCTCCCACAGGCAGGCAGGCAGGCAAGCACAGTATACATCCAAAGGTATCGAAATCCTTACTCTTTACCATATTAACCATTATGTTTTTACCAAGACTAACTCGTTTTCTCGAATACTGAATTTTACATTTAACCATCTAACGGGTTATCTTGCTTTGTACCTCAGATATAATATTATCTTTTGAAATATAAAATTTTAACATTCCGAATGTTATCAAAAAATCACTCACCCAAGTATAAGATAGCCTCAGAACACGAAAAGTGTTAACCCGCCTAATCTGGCAAATTGGCGATAGATGAAGAAAGAAATATGTCTGAATACTTCCGCTTTGGTATTCGGAGGAAAAAACGTTTGTGTCGATGATTTCCAGCAAATGTGAATTCCTGCATTTATGAAAAGTACTTAGCGTTATTGAGTATCAATCTTTGTGGACAACAGTTTTCTTTCAACAAACATTGTCAAGTTCGACATAAGAACGCTACTAAAATTTTTTTCTTTTTTTTTATAGGAAACATTTCAATACACACCTTGCAACACTTGCGAATCAAAACAAAGACCCTTATTGTCCGCCTGAAAATTTGTCGTGGTGGCAGTTCTTTTGTCAAGCCAATGAGTTTTCATACTTTTAGAGAAATATACTGAGTAACACCGATCTATGTATATATGTTTATGTACTTACTTTGTTTTAAACTTTGTTCTTGAAGTGCTACTTAAGCTACCACGAAAAAAAAAAAACTTTTTTAAAATTCCAATTTAAAAAACTGCGCTTAAAGCCTGTACGTGAGTGCCGGAATATGCCAGATTAATTTTTATATATAAAAAAATGTATAGCTTCTCTCAATTTAATTTGTAATTTGAATTACAAACATTTTTAATTTTAACTCTATTCTACAATGTAGTTTGGATTCTTTTAGAAAAAAACATTTAGTGTACAAATTTTAATTAGAATTTAATATACACCTATGTATTTATATATATCTATAACACTGTGCCATTTTAGTTATTAAATTAGTTTTAAAAAAATATGCATCATAATTGCATTTCAATTTTTTCTATATGTAATATTTTAGTGTTGTCATCAATCTGACATTCTTCTTTTTAAATTTTGTTCTTTTTTTTTTAATTTCATTTCTTTCATTTTGAATATCTATAATTGGTTTAAAATTGTTTATTTCAATTCTTTGTTATTTTTTTTAATCAATTGCATTTGTTTTACTTATAAATATTACTCACTGAGTAAATTGATTTGCATAGTTGCAATGTAAAAAATGTAACTTCGCCCTATCGACCCTTTGAGTAATGTTTAACTCGTATTACTTTTTAATGATCCTGCTGATAATTTTTTACTGACGCCTATCTTTCTGTCATATTTGTCATTACAAAAATCTCTAAATCTCTAAATATTTCCCTTGAATAACATTCTTATCTCAACTGCCTTAAAAGAAAAAATCAACAATTTTATTCGTAAATGTTTTTCCTCAGAACTCCGTTTAATTTAAATTGCAAGTAGCTCATAGTGTGGGAATAAATCAATTTGGAAAATATTACTCAGATATATTAAGCAAAATTTTAAATTTTCAAATGTTAGTATTTCCTTAGTTAGCTTTCCACAACCGTTATTGTTAAAAGTTGCTAAAAAGTTATAAAAGTATGTCGAGATACATCTTTGTGGGTTTTAAAATGGCAAACAAGTTTTGCTTACGCTTCTGGAGATAAACATACAAACATATAATTTTCTTTTAAAACCAAAAAATATTTTCCTGGTGGTACTTTTTCAACGACCGAAACCACTCTGATGTATATATATATATGTATGTAGACGCTCATTTGGCGTTTTAAAACCATTTGAACGAGTTTTTTTTTCAAGCAATTTATGGCATATGTGTCGATATTTCCAAGCAATTTTAAGATACCTTCGGACGGCCTATAATTTTAAATTGAAAATATAGCCTACTGATCAATTAATTACCGCGCAAGTGTACAGACAATAAACACATATGTATATTTGCAATAAAATTTTCGTTTCTATTCTCATTTGTTGCCGTTTAATGGCTTTTATGCATTTCTTTCGTTTTTATTTAAATTATATTAGACAATAATAACAAATAGACTTCCGTAATTATTTATGTTGTAATAATTTACATTTACATATACATAGGCAATATAAAACTAAAATAAAAATTAAGCATAAGTTGAATTCTGCTTGACATCAAAATATATGATGTACCAATTGTATTTAACAAATTCAATTAAACTAAAACACACAAATGCAAGAAGAGCTCAAATCGGGGCGACTAGTTACCGCGATTTTGCGTCGACTAATGCTGCTGTTTGTGATAACTCAAGAAGGATCATTGTTTTGTTTAATACATTTTTTTTGTTTTTTTTTGTCTTGTCCTTTCTCATATCTCCGTAGTATTCTATTATATTATAACAAAACAAAGAGATGCAGTAGAGATTAGAGAAATAATTTACATTTCAAATTTTACAATTTTTTTATTTGATATTCATTTATTTTATCTTTACTCCATTTTTATTTAATTTTCTTTCGTATAATTTTCATATCTATTTTTTGTTTAAAATTTTTAAATATTAAAATATTTGCAATTCATTATAATTTTCTAGAGTCGAGATATCAAAAGCATTTGACTTTATTTTTTTATACACACACTCTTCTAACATCTGCCATTTTATACAGTAGCATATACAAACTTAGAAACAAATTTCATTTAAAATTAGCATTAGTTACAAATTAACTTTGTAGCAAGTGAATGTTTTCAATTTTTTTTTATGATAAAAAAAATTATCAATTTATAGTCGTCGGTCCAGCGTTCACTGCAGGCCGTCGCATTTTCGTTTGTAATTTTAACTACTTTACGTGTTACGTTATCATAACATAGTTTTGAATTGCATTTATACAATGAAAATGTAAAAGCTCTTATCTAATATCTCATTTCATTCTATATATTTAGATAAAAATATAATTACAAAAATGTATTTTATCCTCCTAATTCACTTAACTCAGTTTCCTTTATTTTTTTTTTTGTTTTTGTAAGTGTTTTCTTTTTATTTCCAAAAAAAAAAAAAGACTAATAATTCAGTCGTAGAAATTAGAGCAAACCAGCACTAAATCAACGTCGAATCAGGTTAACAATTTGTGGGAGGTCTGGCGGGCACAAAAACAACGGTAGCGGCGGCGGCGACGGTGGTGGTATTGACGGCAGCGGCGGCAGATGCGTTCACATTTGCAACTACGAGGCGGCGTACAACGGTTGTTGTTGTTGCTGTTGTTGTTGTTGTAGTCGCTGTTGCTGCAATAACAGCAGTTGGTAATGTTTCCACACGCAACACTTGCAATTGATTATTCGCTTGAAGATCATCATTACAACCAGATACAATATATTCACTCTCCTCATACTGATTGCTACTATCATCATCATCCCCATCGTCATTATCATGCACTACTTGCGTTGCACTAACAGCCGTTTCACTTATAGCAGTGACATTGAAAATTTTACTACCAGCAACAACATTCACACAATTTGTACTTGTAGCGAGATCTACATTTGTAAGAGCTAAATTTTCGGAATCTGCAATAATTTCGATTTTGTCCATGTCATCATTATTTTCATAGTTCATCTCAGTAGCCGCCACTTCCGTCCCAACCGTATTATCGTCGTCAACGTTGTCGTCGTCGTCATCATCATCAGCAACATCCGGCCTATCTCACTCGATCTTCGTCTGACAGTAGAGCTCTTTGAGTGATTTCAATTCTTCGATGAGCGCTTTATTTTGATTCTCAAGTACCGCCACACGATTTTCCAGGCACTTTATGTACTCCTTCTTTTTACGCCGACATTCACGTGCTGCCTCGCGATTTTTCTGTAAACGTATCTCACGCTTACGCGTTTGATCCTCAGGTATGCCACTATTATCTATGGAAAGCAAGAAAATAACATTATTTTTACGTATGAAATATACATACATATGTATGTGAGTGTACTTAAAACGTATTTATTTGGCTTGTATACTAATTTATACATACGCACATACATATATACATGCATACAAATATATGCATATAGATATGTACTAGTATATAATATTTGATATAATATAATATATATTGTATATAAATATATATATAACACTTAATAATTAATATTGGAAACGTTCTTTACTAGTATTGTAGGAAATCCTATGAGGTAGGTAAAACGTTGCCGCATTATCCGGCGGCAATTGTATCAGTGTGCCGCTTGTACTGCCCCCTGTGCCCGCTAACGCATGTAATCCACCAGTCTCTGACATTTGCAAAGCCGCTCCACCTTTACAACATTTTTTTAACATATTTTGTTCACAAATCAGTTAAATAATCAAACATTGTCAACACAATCGATCGCAAGATAGTTAAAAAAATCGATAAATTATAATCGATAAAATATCAGCGCACACCAGTAATTCACGCATTTGTGTTTCAATTCGTATACGTTTTTTCATTATTTTATTTTATTTTTATAATTCGTTTGGATTGTTGCATGTTTGTTCGGTTGCCCGTCAACGTGTTGAGTGTGGGGAGTTTGTTGAAAATTATCAACATAGCAAGCATATCGGTTTGGATTGCATCAAGAGATCAGTTGAGTTGAGTTGAGTTGAGTTGGGTTGAGTTGAAAATACGCGCAGTTGAAGTGATGTTGAATTAGGAATTTTCGGTTTTGGAAAAAAGTCGAAAATAAGAGTATTAGCATTGGCTTACTAATTGACATTTGAAAACAAAACAATGGATCCTAACTCATTTAGTGCAAACCTATATACACATAATTTATGAACAGAGAATGTATGTATGCATGAATGGAATATTACTGCACATTGCACATTACACATGAAATTTTTTTTCTTTTTTTTAGATACAATACGTTTATGAATTAGATATGTATGTATGTATTTTTGTAGTATGCAACAAGAAGCCTTATTATTATTTTTAATGGTTAGTGCATTCCTATGAATATACATATATTGTTGTTGTTGTTATATAGATTTGATTGATAGCTTATATTGAGCACTTCAATGTTTGTGAATATACATACATACATACGTATTTAGCAATTACATTCGATGATGATAGCTATTTTTTTTTATCTATATATCATATTTGTAAGGCAAAAAGCGTTAAATTGAGTTCAAACAGGATTTACAGAGCGTGAAACACACACATGACAAACAGACAGACAGACAAACAGTCAGAGAGAGAGAGAGAGAGAGAGAGAGAGAGAGAGAGAGAGAGAGAGAGAGAGAGAGAGAGAGAGAGAGAGAGAGAGAGAGAGAGAGAGAGAGAGAGAGAGAGAGAGAGAGAGAGAGAGAGAGAGAGAGAGAGAGAGAGAGAGAGAGAGAGAGAGAGAGAGAGAGAGAGAGAGAGAGAGAGAGAGAGAGAGAGAGAGAGAGAGAGAGAGAGAGAGAGAGAGAGAGAGAGAGAGAGAGAGAGAGAGAGAGAGAGAGAGAGAGAGAGAGAGAGAGAGAGAGAGAGAGAGAGAGAGAGAGAGAGAGAGAGAGAGAGAGAGAGAGAGAGAGAGAGAGAGAGAGAGAGAGAGAGAGAGAGAGAGAGAGAGAGAGAGAGAGAGAGAGAGAGAGAGAGAGAGAGAGAGAGAGAGAGAGAGAGAGAGATTGTAGGAATAGTGAAAGAGAGAAAATCAAAGTGACACACATAGAATATGGTAATATAGAGAAAGGCAAATAGAGAGCAGAAGACGCAAGTGAAGTTTCTGTTCTAAAAAATGCACATTGAGACATTAATATGAACATATAAAATGTTAAAAAGGACACGCATGGTTATTAATGCTTTACAATATAACTTGATCATTATTTCATAATTACAAATATTAATAGATCAACATTTACAATGTGAGCGTATAACATATGCGTATTGTGATGGTCAAAGAGAAGTGGAGCGAGCGAGCGAGCGAGAGAGAGAGCGACAGCGACAGCGAGCGAATATGAGCGCGCGGGCAGTACAGAGATGCAACAATACATTCGTAAACTGATGAAAAATGACACATAATTTATATTTTTTTCGTCGTTTTAACAAATTATTAATAGCTTTGATAATTAAAAGATAATTACATCTTCCTTTAATATACGTATTCTGATGTTTTTTGTTTTAATTTCTCAGTTTTCTTAGTACAAGTATGAATGTTAAATCATAATTAATGTCAAGTGTAAGAAAAAACAAAAAAAAAAACAAATAATGGAAACTATCCTTATCTCTCTCTGGAGCATAAACCCAACATAAAATATACCTCCAACTTGAGCAGAAAAATAATTGTTAATATAATGCTATGCTTTTTTAAGTGTTCAGTATTAGATCTATTTGGTTCTAATTGCTAATTTACTAAACACTTTTAACATATTAGAAGGTTAACCCCCAAAACCGATTACAAAGTACTTGATCAATTCGATAATATCACCGAAGAAGAGAAAGTCTAATGAGAGCCTTTTTCTTAAAAAAAAAAAATACTATAGACTTCCTAGTAATGCACGAAGGAGTTGTTAAAAAAAACTTCAACAAATTGCTGTTGATAATTTTTCAAAAAGGTATAACCAAGTCCAATTGGCAAACGACCGATGTTTGAAACACATTTACCCAAAAATTAAAACAAGTTTCAAGTAATTTGGAATAAAAAAAAATAAATATTTTTAAAATTCTTCCTTCACATTTACATGATTTTTGTCTGGTTTTTGTGTATTCTCTCCTGAAAATCATAAAGAGCGAACGACTTTGCAAAGTCAACGCTGTACTGGTGGTAGCAGAACATTACAATGGCAGCGATTAGCGTTTGGTATGTTCGATTGCGTAATCAAGCTACTTTCGTTAAGCTCCTTTCTCTTTCGCTTTTTTGTTACAATTGAAAACACAAACAGCCATACAAACAAATAAAGAAGCGTTTAGAGATTTTCAAAACACGATGATGATGATGATAATGATGATGGTAACGACGGACTGACAGCATCACTCATATGTATGTACATACATACATATGTACATATGTATAAAGTGACATGCCGTGATAAATGCAACAAAGCTTTGATGTTGTTAGTCTATGTAAATATAATACAGTATATATTATTTACCAAAATGTATCATTAGAAAAATATAGTTTTACCAGATAAAGACAGAAAACAAATATGGAATCAAAACATATTTTAAGACTTAAGTAATGTTTAATGATTAACTATGTATGTATGTAGTGAGGAGTGATGTTTTCAGCAATGCAAATGATTACATGGATAAGTACTTGTTGTTGGTGATGAACACGGCGATGACGCAAGAATGTACAAATGTGAAATGTGTATTATACGAATGCGAACATGATCATGAAATGCTTTGTTTTTTTTTTGCGAATTAATTTTGTATACAGTGATGCTGGCGTTGTGTGAGAGCGCTGGTAGATTTGCAAGATTAATGACGAGAATGATAAAAGTATTTAGCGCTGAAGACTATGACGATGATGCAAGGCACGGATGATGAGCGATTTACATACCTACGTACAAACATAGCTACATATATTTGAATTGTGTCAGCGTTTGAATTACTCATGGGATTGCAATCAAAATTGGATTTTATTATTTTTACCGAATTCAAAAAGTACAGCCAGCAATAAATTACGGCTAAAAATTTGCTGTGCACTATTTTTTGTTGATATTTTTAATTACATGCTTAAGTTTAATCACAACCGTTAGTTAAGACGTAAAGGAAAACATTTGATATTCAAAACAAAAGTTGTTTTGAGATTTATAAAAAGTGTGTAAAGAGAATGATTTCAACTAGCAATACTCACACATGGTTACAATTGAAATAAAAAAAATTACTTTCAAAATACTTAAGAATGTTGCAATTGTGTTTCTTTTTATATAGCAATTAATGTTTGCTGCAATTAAAACGAATTGTTTCCGAATTTTTACAGCGCTGGAATTATTTATTTTGTGATTTGTAATTGTCACTAAAACTATTACGTATTAAAATAATTCCATATTTGTATGTATATTTATTTTTAATATTACAATCTGTAATTACAAAGGACTTTCGCTTTAGAAAATCATCATTGGCAGCAACTCGGAAATATATGACAGCTTGTACGTATGCATTTAACTTTAAAATTGTTCATGAAGAATATGATCTTTTGCCAATCGTGCAAAATACAACATAATTTATGAATAAAAAAAAAATACGAAAAAATTATAATAGTAATAATGCCAACAAATGATATAGTCAGTAGGCGTATTGAAAAAAAATGTAGTGTACGAATAAAGGTTTTTTTTTTTAATTACCAGATATATCAGGTCCACTAATTTCGGTGAAAATTTTATTGTACGATGGCCTTCTTGTAAGCTCTATTCGTCGCTGCGGTGAATCCTCATCAGTGAGACTGTCCTCACTGTTTGTATCGAGGTGTTGTGTATTTGGTTCGGGTTTGATTTTACATTGAAAATGTGGAGGGAGCTGTAAAGATATTTTGTATTAAAAACTAATTTCTAAATTCAACTACTTTCCATTACTTTTTTTCTACTCACTTGCACACCACTGCCTGATGTTGTGTGTATTACCGTTGTACTAGGCGGTTTGTTCACATACAATACACCACCTTTGGGCGCTCCTATCGCTCCTGTCGCTGGCGCAGTCAAGGCATTTGTAGCGGCTGTTTGTATGACTGACGACTGATTCGCTGCTTGAATAACAGATTGCATTTGCTGTGAGCGTAGCCAATGAAAAGTATTATTTTTTATATTATTTATATTTAGAATATTTAAAGTTTTTCGTAAGAAACAATTTGTAACTCAAATACACACCTGTAAACTGTGCACCGACGCGACTATGGGATATTGCACACTCGTTGTTGTAGTCAAGACAGTAGCGCCACTCGCTGACGCTGATGCTGCTACACTATTGCCGGCGGTTGGATTTGACGAGTTGTTACTTTGGTGGTGATGCTGCTGCTGCTGCTGTTGCGTTGAGGTGGTAGTCAAATTGTGTCCCTCCTCAATGTTGTTCGAGTTGCCGTTCTCCTCACCGATGCTGTCCATTTTTTTAATTTTCAACAGCACCGACACGTCTTGCGACAACTGCTTCAGCTTGACAAATTTATTTTTTATATGAGCAACCCAAAAAGATGCAAAATCGTAGTAATAATGCTACTACGAAAAGCAAAGCAATTAAAGGTTGTTGTTTCTGACTAATATCGACCTTTGGTACAAATTTGTTAAAAAGATTTTTTTTTGTTGATTTGGTTTTTGTTGTTATTTTATTTGCTCAAAGCTTTGTGAAAAATTTTCCATATATTTTTTGGACTGAGTGCAAGCGACGTATTGCGGTTTTTATGCATCCAGTATTAGTTTCAACTGTAAAAAAATAAAATTTGTAATTAACTTTTGTTCAATTAAAATATAGTCTTTTTTTAGCTTATTTTTTAGCGGAATGCCAGAATAAAAAAAAAAACACTGCACATTACATAGCATAATAACACTAATAGATTTATCTGAAGAGATTCTATTACTAGTTTGTCAAAAATTTGAGGAGTTACTAACCCTGCTGGGTGCCTGGGCAGGAAAAGTTGGGTTTTAAAAAAAAGATTTTTTAAGAACTTTAGGAAAGTTTAAAAATAAGCACATAAAATTCAGAAAAAATCATAAGATCTTTATTTGAAGCGTTAGTACGGTTCATATAGTTTAATGTTTGAAGATTATTTCATGCAAATGTTGAACGTGACTGCGCCTCACACGATCCATCCGCTTACTCCAATTTTGGCATACTCTTTCCAATATTTCGGCCGCTATCTCACGAATAAATGCTTCAATGTTATCCTCCAATGCGTCTATTCAAGCGGGCTTGTCTGTATAGACATTAGATTCAGCATAGCCTCATAAAAAATAGTCAAAAGGCGTTAAATCGCACGATCTAGGCAGCCAATTGACCGGTCCCGAACGTGAAATAAAATTTTCACCAAACTCGTCTCTCATTAAGTCCATTGTTATGCGTGCTGCGTGTGGCATGTGGCACCGTCTTGCGTAAACCACATGCCATGCAAGTCAAGCTCTTGCATTTTGGGCTAAAAAAAAATTTGATATCATCTCACGGCACAGCGCTCAGCATTCACAGTTACGTTACGATTCGCATTATCTTTGAAGAAGTACGGTCCAATGATGGCACCAGCCTATAAGCCGCACCAAACTCTGACTTTATCTGGATGCATTGGTAACTGATTGGATATCTTGTATTCAATTAATAATGTATTAAATTATTAATTAAATAATTAAAAATTTGTTAAAAAAACAATTGTTATATCCCAATTTATGTTTAAATATTATTTCTCATATTTATAAAATTGGTTTGTTTTCCGATTTCGATTTTCATGTATTTATACTTGTGTAGAATACCAAATCTCACCCTTTTGGGACCTTTTTTGACAAATTTTTGACCAAAAACTTCAGTATATCAAGAGTATATAGGATATCGTCCTCTGATTTCAAAAATTTTCTGTTACAATGTTTATTTGTATTGATTTTCTTGTGTAGAATGCAAGCAGTATTGCTAGCGCCGTCCCTGAGAAACCAGACAAAGGCACCATGTCAAAGAAACAGTGAAGCATGGTAGCGGAAACATCGTGGTATGGGGGCTGCTTCACGTGGTGACATGTTGGTCCGTTGAGAAAAATGTACAGAATAATGAATATGGAGGACTATTTACATATTCTACAGGCCCACGAACCCGATTTTGTTGATATAGCCGCCTATTCTCATAAAGAAAAACTATTTCAACAAGATCGCGACCCCAAGCATATGTCCAAAATCGTGAAAGAATGGCTAGCTGCGCAAAATTTCATTGCGATGTACTCGCCTGCTCAAAGTCCTAACCTCAATCCGATTGAAAACATGTGGTGTCAGCGAATATGGATGAGATATGGTGGCGTGCACAACATGAATGGCAAAATATTCCTGTTGAAATAAATCAAAATTGAGTGGAACGTATGACGGCGAATAGAAGTTATGGAGTTATGGACTAAATATTGAAAATGTACTCCAGCTATGCAGTTGCTGAATGGTGCAAAATTGAGTACAAAGCAGCAGTCTTCGTTTTATTCACTTTTTTCTTAGAATTTCTTCTCTTTTGCTTTGGGTTATTATACATTTTGTTAAATTTTTTGTTAAATGTTCAAAAAATTTGCGAATTGCTTTATTGCTGTTATTGTTATGCACTTGCAGGCCTATTCTGTTGAGGTAACAAAATTTACTTTGGTATTAAAATTTACCATTCAGTCAATTTTGTTACTATTTCGTATGCTGAGCTCACTGTCACCCTGTAAATTTTGTTACCAGCGAAATAGAAGATAACAAAAATATCTGCTGTTTGATTTTATGTTGTTAGTTTCAGAAAAAATAAAAACCAAAATGGGTAGGCATATTTTAGGCCTGGAATTCATTGAAGATGGGGGAAAAAGTGCAAAAAGCCGTATTTTAAGAAGTTTTCGAGACAAAAAAGTAACCCTTTAATTTGTAAGATAACGTTTTCATTCAGCTTTTTTTTTGTTGTCCAGGCATATTTTCCATAATTAGGTTCAAATATTTATGTATTAATCAAATTTTTTAATTTTTTTGTGCACCGTCTTCCATTTCGATGTGGATATTTTTCTTTTTACTTTAACAACTGGCAAATGTAATTTGACGAAAAAGGCAGTGCTGCCCAAGTTTTGTCAAACATTGTAACCAGTTCGCCAGAATACCAAATTCAATTTCGGGTGTTAGAGAAAAGTAACAAAATTTACTTTACCGGTAACTGTGAGAATAGACCTGTTGGAAGAATACGAAGGACAAACAATGAGAACATGTGCCCCCCTCTGTATGTATGTATGTATATGCTGTATTAGCTCGATCGGGAAGATGGGTTTAAAGGTAACAGTGATATACATCAATATCTAAGAGACTAATTTGCGTATAAACAGATGGATCTCATCCAATCGGTATAAATTTTGAAGGGTCTATCTCTTCTCTTTCTATTACTTCTATACTTCAGACCAAAGTCAATATGTGCCATTTCATGTGCATGAAAGTTATAATAAAAATGTTTGGGCAAAAATCTACAATAAAACACCAGCGCCATACACTCAAACAACTAGCCCAACTAATTGAATTGCAGACCCTACATAGCAGTTGTACAGTTTTGAGAAAATAAAATATATAAAAAACAAATATGAAACATTGACTTGATAAAGATAATCTTGCACCAATAATAGCAACAATAAATATAATATATATATACATATATATATTGTAGTAGTAGATATTTATGCTTGTATTTCATATTTATGTACATTTTTGTATATGCATACATTCATTTATATGTATGTACACAGATATTATAATTTATTGAGGAACATAACTAACAACAACATTGTGACCACAGATAATGGTGACGAGGAAAAAAATTATTATGCCAACCACCATTTCTACAAACATACCTATGTCAATAGATATATCATATGAATGTACATACATATTCATATATGAGTTCGAAATCGACAATAAACTTCACATACATATCACCTTATCGTCTCGTTGGGGTATGAGTCACCCACCAAACCAACCAAACAACCAACTACCAAGACAGCGCGGCGGTAATGGAATATGTGTATATGTATGTACCTCCAAACAGCGCCAGTGACTGGTTAACGCGAGTCACACAGTCGCATTCGCTAAAACGCCAAATAATATAACGTCATCAACGACAGACTCAAAGGCGGGAGTGCGTGACAGATCGACAGGCAATATGCGAGATCAGCAAAACGACAACTTCAAAATCACGAATATTCGAATGTGTCGAGAGTTTGCAAGCAATTACTGCTGGTAACAGAATAATCGTATTTACATAGGGTAAATGTACTTTTGAATGGACATCATCTAGTTAACGGACAGAACAAAGAGTTTTTTGTGTTATGGAGTGGTCTGCTCGTTCTCTGTATTTAACGGTACCAGACTTTTTTCTGTGGGGATATTTAAAAAGTAAAGTTTATGCCAGCAAGCCGAAGAACATTGACGAACTCAAAGCTAATATACGAGCTGAAATAGCTGCGATATCACCCGAAATGCTGGCCAATGTTATGCAGAATGCCCGCAAGAGGGCTGCTTTTTGTGTATCAAATAGGGGTGGTCATTTAATCGACGTTGTATTCTAGACCTGGTTTGAAATAAATGGCATAGAATATCGTAAAAAAATCTTGTTCATTTGTGAAAGTTGGCTGAAAATTGACCGAGTTGTTCAATGTTGAAATAGGATACATCCAGATGGCGCACCCTGTATATAGAATAGACCACGTCCAGCACGTCCGGAGTGTACACCAAGATCGTGGATATTTTTTTTACGACGAGATATTAAATTGAAAACGTACAAAATAGAGCTTGTGCAAGAATTGAAGTCGCCCGATGCGATTCTCTATGGGCTCTCGAAAAGTTCCAAGAAGATCCGACGTTTTCAAACCTAATTTTGTTAAGCGATGAGGACCATTTCTGGCTCAATGGGTATGTTATTGTTGTTGATGTTAATACTGGCTCCTAGATAGAAGAAGTTATCTACGTCTCCAAAGTTACGACTGTTTATTTGATGACAGGAGATATTTCGGCTTGACCTCATTCATTTCCAGACCCGTTTGCTTCGTTTTTTTTTTTATCGAGTATTGAGAAATCCGAACTGGCGCCGCGTTTGTTGAGGCCAACAATGTCAATATCACCGGCAGGTTGTGGTGTGCTACTATTTACTGTCTTAATGGGTATATTCTTATTCAAATGTTGAAAAGGGAAGATAGAGGATTAGGTTTTAAGGGGCATGCAAAGAGGTAGTTAGTTTCGGGGATTTCCGATGATACAACTTTATCCTTGTTCAAAGTAAATGTTGTCCAGATCAATACCATCCAGTCATTAATCATTTCTCGATAATTCAATCCATTCATTTTCGAAAAAGTAAGGTGCTCTGACACCACTGGACCTTATACCACACCAAACGCTTACACGTTCAGGATGATAAGGCTTTTCAATAATAAATCTTGTGTTTCCAAGTCCTCGGTTGTAACAATTTTGCTTATTGGCGTAGTTATCGAGGAGGAAATAAGCCTCCTCGTTCAAGATGGTTTTTCGATGAAATGTTTATATGTGGTTAATTTTAATATCAATTTTATTACCAGCGTAGTTTGTACTTATCAAATGCCGAGAAATTACAGCTTCAAAAGTGACATGTACAGAAATTGCCGGCTATTCAAAATAAACCCTCTTATTGGAAACTCCGAACTACCAAGTTTATTTCATTTTTTTTTTCTGAAAGACGGGGAAAACTGGCAAGCAAACCGCAGTATCATCGTAGAGGTTTAGGTCTACAAGTATGGAGTAAGCCTGTCAATCTCGGGATTTGCCTGTCAGATATAAAATCATAATAGCTGCAGCCAAGTTGACAGGCAAACTGGATTATGCGGACATCGTTGGAATGAAAGATTTTCAGAATAAATACGCAGAGAATGAAAGAATCAACGCGAGGGGAAATGTCATACCAAAAAGGAAGGTAACTTAAATACGAGATGTCGAAGAAAAGGAAATAATGAAAATAATTTAGAAATCAGACGATCTCAGCTGCTTTTCAATGAAATATATTGCAATTTAAGAAATTCTATTATTTTTTTACAAACACGACTGTTAAATGGGTGCCTGTTTATTGAATTTTTATTGTCTGTTCTTTGAAAAAAAAGTCTGCACACTAAAGGCATACGACTTATTTTACTAGTAAAAAAATAAAAAATAATAAAAAAAAATAATAATAAAAAAAAAATAATAACAATAATATTTATATAAATTGTGATTCTTAGTCGATGCATAATTCAGGGGTACACCTAGTGTAATGGCCTAAAAATAGGTGATTTTTTTGGAATTTTTATTAAAAAAAATACTTTATCAATTATTTCAAAATTTTAAGAATATATTTATACATGATTCAAGAATATACAGTGAAATTTTTGAAGAAAAAAATTAAATATTTTTTAAGTTAAAGTCGATCTCCAACGACGCGATAAAAAGGTCCTTCACTGCTGCAATGAATCCGGCCTTCTCCGTGGATTAAATATAAAAAAAATCCTCTACTAGATAATATTGTCTGTACAATGACCTACGATAATAGAAACCAAAAATTGACAATATGGCGGCGTTTAAAAAAAAAATAGTCGAATTTTACCCAAAATTTTGGTCGTTTTTGACCTGCCAAAATTCGATTTTTTGATCAGATCAAAAATCGATAGATCATTGTACGGAGAACTATATATAGAACATGTGAAAAAAAAATTCTATAGTGATCGGATCATTTGTTTTTGAGTAATGACTACAGCAAATTCGGAAAGATAAAATGATCGTTTTCACTCGTAGCTAATGAGACTCTCTAGCTGCCGAGTGGCTGCTCTTTAAATTGCTATAACTCAAAAACTATTTGAGATATCGATTTGAAATTTAAATATGTTTTTTTTTAAAGGTGTAATCTACCGAAATATTTTTTGAAATTTCACACTAGGTGTGCTTCTTAATTGAAAGACCTGAACTAATATCAAACGTTTCGACATAATTAAAAGTTGAAAAAAAAAAATCAATCGTCCACCAGCAACCAGCACATTTACCCTACATATATAGTGCAAAACTTGTGTATATATGTACATATGTACATCAATGCCGACAGTAATCACAACAGCGCCACAGGCCGTTTACAATATTTTTTTTCTTCATTTACGGAACAACTTAAAGCATATTGCGAACAGCAGTAAATGATGCATACCAAGAGTGTGTTTGGAATGAATGAATTATTGTTTGATATGCAATGTGTGCTTAGTAGGTACGTATATAAACGCATAGATGTATTTTATAGCAATATATATATATATATGTATGTGTATGTGTTTGTACGTATTGAAAGAGCGCCAAATTGCAGCTAAAAAGTAGGAAAAAAAAAATTATAAAATTACGTAAAAATTGAAATAAAAGCTTATGAAAAAGAAAAATGTTTTGAAAATGAGTCTTATGTTGCTTGCTTACGATGTACGCATTGGGCTGAAATACAATTTTTTTCTTTTTTAATAAATATGTACATACGAGTACACACAAATATGTCTGCCAATAAATATGCACGTAGCTGATTTCATTGCTCAGTATCATCACGGACACGTCATCAACATTTCGTTTGTGATATGCATTTAAGGCAATATGCATATATGTACTCGTATGCGAATATACTTGTATTGTACAAGCAAATATGTATGTATATTCTTTTTAAGAAGAATGCAAATATACAGACATATATATATATATATATGTAAATACTACACACTTGTATGATCACAAAAAGTATATACATACACATGTATGTGTAATAATAATTATATATACAATACATACTTACATACATACATAAAATTCATAGATATCACAAAAGCGAAATAATAAAATTAAATAAAATAACGCGTAGTCATTTAAGGTGTGTTAACAATAAGAATCCATACAACTAAAATCGTTTATATATATATATACATACATATGTTTGTAGGAATGAACGTACTTTTGATAAAAAGAAAAGCAAAGCTGTTAAGTCAGAAAACAAAAGTTGGCGGATGTCGTCACCAACGGCAGGTAATCATAATTTCTTATCACGTTTGCTCTTCTGAAGGCTTTTATAAAAGGAACGTTTAACGTTTTAGATAGATAAGATTTAGATACATACATATGTATGTATGTATACTCATAGATGTTTATTTAATTAAATTAAAAAAATTTGTAACAAGTTGCCGATGTAAACTTGGTATGAAGAAACTATCTTATGCCATCAAAAGAAGTCATTTTTGTATCGGATCGTCACAAGCGATGAAAAATGGACATTCAGCACTCTCAAATACTCCCATCCAGTGAATGGAGTGCTCACCCGTTGCCGACAACGAGCTCAAACTGTCTCGAGAGACTCGCCTGACCTTTGCACAACTCAAGTCTAGATACTGTACCAGATTTAACGCTTACTTATCCAGACTCTACCCCAGCATATCCAACGTATGCCCTACATGTGGAGAGTCTCCGCACGGCACTAACCACTTCTTCACATGCTCCCTTAAACCGACTTATGTATATAGCCCCCTCTCTCTCTTTTTGGTCCAATCTCGTCGAAACAGCTCGTTTCCTGGACCTCCCACTAGATAACCTCGGCGAGTTAGATCAATCAAACCTGTACCTAAGCGGGGTTAGCGAACCGCTACAATAACAATAACAACAACAACAACAACAACTAATTACGTTTCGAGTTTAAGAAAAAGTTTAAATTACATAATGAATAATAGACTTTGTGAAGAGTAGTAGGTACTAGAATCCACCACTTATTCACTAGTTGAGGGCACTAGTGCAGTCGTAAATTCAGGTTAATTTGGCATAAGCGAATGCGAAATAAAAATAATAGAAAAAAACCATTTGCACAGTTGGGCATCCCGTATTATATATCTATTATTCTCTGTACTGCATTAGGACTTTGAAAGAAGTTTTAGTTTAAAATTATTTTCGTAAAATTTGTTCAAACATACGTAAAACTTTGAATATTTTTTGAAATAAACTTGTAGGTACATACATATATAAAATATGTGGATTCTAAAAATCTTTAATCTTCATATTTTCAAGAGAGTGAGTCAATGCACTCGCTTCATAAACAGTATTCAGGCATACCGGCCTCCAAGACATTCAACATTATAGTCTTTATGTCGCTATTTTTCTGTATGATGTATTTTTATGAGGTGACGTCATGGACGTCAGCAGTAAGAAGTACAAATCGTCAGTCGATGCGTATATAGTGTATATATACATATTTTTGTATGTACTTATACAGTATTTATGTTATACTGTCAGCCCAGCAAGCAATAAATTGGCTTACATAGTTTGCGGTAGTCGCGACTTTTTGCAGACAATACGAAGCTTTTGTATATGATTTTTGCTAAATATGCTAACATCAGTTTTTATTTGATTTCTTAGGCAGATTGACACTGTCAGTCATTACCTTCAATAGCAAGTACATATGTTTGTAAATGCAATTCTATTATTTATGTACTATGTATGTATGTAGACATGTGCATATAAAGTGGGATGTGTTTGCTTTAATTTGATTGTTTGGAGGTCTGTGCACGTGCTTTTTGCTTTACTATCTTACTTGCTCTTATAAGTATTTGCAAACAAATATTCCTACATGGGAGCAAACATACATATGTATATATGTACATGTACATATGGATATATATGTATGTTTATAAAAGCACATAATGTATGTGCATATATTTTTACACACGTTCGTTGCGAAAGTTATCGCTAATTTTTAATGCCTAAGAAAATTTGGCGCAAATTTTGTAAATATGTATTTGCTATGATGATATGGGTTTTCTATTTATTTGCAAATTTAGCTTGGATTAGTGGAAACGCAAACTTCGCAGCAATGACGTAATATTTATTTTCGATTCAAATACAAAATAATGGCTTTTGTGTTATATACATATGTATATACAAATGTATGTATGTAGGTACCGAATCGTGCTATAAAATTTGTGTTTACAATTGAATTTATTTTTTTCATTGAACCTTCGACTAAACAGTCTTGTGTTCTCTTTTGGTTTGATAACACACTGGCTTTATCAATATCTCCATATGTTTATCTGACAAGAAAATAACTTCCCCTAAAAACCCATTCAGCCGTCCGAAGGCCACCCTAAGCTACTATATGATCCTTCATTTGTTGCATAAATATCAAAATGACTACAGAAATGAGCAAAGTGCGGCCAAAAGTATTAAAACCGTTTACAAACGCCAATTATTATATACTGCATTATTACTTATTTAAAACAGTAAGTCGCGACTTAACAAATACTTTATATTTACAATTTAATAATCAATTCTCTTTGCACAGTAAAAATATGTATAAAAAAATACATATTTTTAAATAATTTCAGAAAAAAAAATTTATGACTTTAAAATATAATTTTAGGTAAAGACCGAACCGCACCGAGAGTTGAATTTTTGATTTACCTTTGTTTTCTTGCATATTTAACACCACGACATTCTTTAAACACATGAAATTAAATGAAACCACTGTGCAAGCCGCTGAGTGAAAAAAACAGTCAAGGACAAACAAATGTTTAGGTTCTCAACGACTTTCTGTACTTACTGCATTCTGAAAACATTTTTAATAACTTTTACATAAACAAACCTGACTATTGCTTGCATTTATTTACGCATATATATGTTAATTATTTATTCACAGGATTATTTTTTTAAATATTCTTTGATTTAAGCAGAAAGGTGTAAAAACAATCTATATTCACACAAACATTTACATTTACACACAAATCAAATATTCCATTACTCGCTGAAGCAATAGCTGGAATTATTTTAGATCGATTTTAAACTTTAATTTGCAATTTTTTCTAAATGTGATGAACATTATAAAATTTGTTATGACTTCGTCATCAATTTCCGATTTTTTGCACCAACTCAATTGGAAGTGTGAACAGCCAGCTTGCGCAAGTAATCGCACGACCATTTCAAAAAATTTTAAGAATAATACCACATTTTATTAAAACATTGATCAGAGTCACTAAATCTATTCATATACTCATAATTTGTCTTGATAAATTTTCACACTGACAAAACAATTACATGGAGCAAACAACTGTCGATTGATGAAAAAATCAGCAACAATTTTAATGGCAACAGAAATTGAAACTACGTCGACAACTACGACAACGACAACGACAACGACAGCGACCACGAAACGAAACTTCTGATGACATCACTAAAAAATTACTTTATTGTTATTGGTGCCTGCGATATGCCTGCTTTTTCTTGCTTTTCTTATCGTTGTTGTAAAAATTATTAAGTGTACACGAAATTGTAAACAAACTCTGAATTCACCATGAGCATGAGTGAACAGACTATATCCATAATTATTTCACAATTGTTTGGCGCACTCACTCCGCTCGGCCACGATGGTTATACGAAAAATCACGTTATGGAAGTGTTATATTTTTGCTTTTTGTTTTTGTTTCATTGACTTTGCATTCGAGGGATTACCTAAAATTTCTGATTGTGATTTCACTGTAGAATAAGCCTGATGTAACGCACTTCAGCTGCATCGCATGTCCAACGCTTCACCAAAATTCAAATTCTCTTGTTTTGCTATATTTCGTTAGTGAATTGGATTAAGCCACAGAAATAAGTTAAAACCGACCCAACAACAGCACTAAACTATTTTCCATATTGTACACTTTTAATGATATTCTTACTATTTAGATGTTTAGACTATCTAGTTCGCTCGCACTTTTAGTTGCGCGTGGCGATGAAAGAGAAGATAATATAATATCAAATAAAATTTACTCAACAAATTTTCCAACATGTGGTGAATTATAAATACGAATTCAGAGTTGCAATGAAATGCATGGCGATAAATACAATAACAAATACTCTTCTTTTGGTTATGCGTTAAAATACTTGATTATTAATTTAAAATTGTTTGAAAACTCTCCTCTTTTTGCCTTTGAAAATATTGAAAATTCAAAACAAAATTTCTCAAAATTTAAAAAAAGTGTCCGGTATTTTCACCAGATTGAGTTTGTACTCTTATTGTGGGTAGTACTAATCTAATTGTGTGAAATTATAACTTGTTTGAAACTCAGTGTTTCAAGAAATATTTTCCATGAGAGCACTTCTAATAAGTGAAGTGTGAAGAGTTCTCTGGATAACTCCCTAAACCATCATTCGTATGAAAAGTACTTTTGATTTGAAAAAGAATAAAAAAAATGACGAATCATTACAAACGAAAAAAATATTGCTAGGTGATACTAACTATTTGGCGAACTGTTTGGGAAAGGAATTGTCCGCAACCTGGCGAAACAACCCATTCTGAGCTCTGATGTCAACAATTAACCTGTTTACAGCAAGATCTTCGAAAAACACATGCAGAATTGCAGACAAGATTTTGTATCATGGCAACGCCAGGCAAATACATCTTTGATGAACTTTCACCTTCTGAATACCATTTGTTTTGGTCCAAGCAAAACTGTCTTCGTGATAAAAAGAATTGTCCGACCCAAGAGCGCTCAAAATCGCACAGAAGCTTTACACTGATGCGATAAGTTAAACTGATTTGTCTATAAGATTTCAGTACAGGGAAAAATATTAACTAGACCCCTATTCAGCTGTTGAACTAACGAACCTAAGACGGAAAAAAATATCAATAACCAATAAGATCTACACATTTGAAAATGATGACCACATCTAATCTCATTCAAAATAATCAATTGGCGTGCATATGTCTAATTGAAACTATCTATTTATACGGGCATATGTCTATCTATACATTTGTATGTACGTTGACTGGCTCTGTCATAGACTTAGCAGTCAATATCCACTGCGCTGCAACTGCATGCGATTACGAAAGCATTGACTGAATAAAACAACAACAGAAAATGCTGACAGCAGCAGTGACATTTACGGTAACAGCGAAGAAGAAAGAAAATTGTAGAATGAATGGCTGTACATAAATTAGAGAAAAAGTTTACCAAGAAGCACTATGAAATACAAATGCATACTCTCACAAACGGAGTGGCCAAACTATTACATATGTATATACATACATACATACATCGAACAACGCGCTGTCATTAGGAAATAGGGAAATATTCAATGAAACAAGGTAATGGTGTCTGCCCGTTTCACGCAATTTGCACTTGAAACGCAAACAATAACACCAACAAACTGCACCAACCTCCCACCAAGTAAGCAGAAAGCATATAAGCAACAAAACGACAACAACAACATCATCTACATGCAACGGATTCCGCTCAAATTCTTAAGTGTGTATAAAAATAAATTAGTCGTTGCGAGGCGCGAAAGCCAAAGAAAAAATAAATAAAATAAAAAATATAAAAGAAAAAAAATTACACGACCCACCGGCCAACCGACCAACTTATTCGGCCACTAGGCCAAAGCAACAATTGTAGTCACAGCACACATAGTTCTCTGCTATGGATTATAAGCGAACGGCGCAGCAAATAGCTGTTGATTAAACTTTTTTGCTTTTCGAAAACATTTCGTTTAGTTTTTCTTACAATTACAGTGATTACGTCAAGATTTCTCTATGTACTAATTGTATTGTTGGCTTAGAAAATTGCTTATTATCGCGAGTTAGTGTCTTGCTGCTGTATACTCGTCACGACAACCCTTTTGAATCGAACACCTACATATGTGCACACATACATACACTCAGATGGAGAGACACACACAAATATTTATGCATGCAGGGTGTTGTATGGTTGTGAGTTGTTTTGTTTTCTAACCCATGATTTTATATTTACATATGTACATAAGTATAAAAATACATACATTTATAAGTATGTACGTATGTACATTTATAAATATTTATATATTTGTCACAATTTTTTTTATCAGGTCTAACTGGCTGCTAAATTGAATGGAATCGCTGTGGTGTTGTCGCCTGGTATCCGTATCCGTGATAACGTTCGCATAATTTTTGCATACATATGCTTAAACATATGCATGCACATACATACATACATACATAGGTATACATATATGTTTGTACATATGCCCACATATACGTTTCAATAAAATATAGATTTATCTTGCTATGTGTTTTTATTCATTCTCGTACATACATAAATACATACATACATACATACATATGTATCAATTAAATTCCAATTAATTTACACGAGATTTAACTTTTATGTACAAAACTATTTTCCGATTCGCTCGTTTTTCTCGTCATAAATAGTTTTCATTTAAAAAAAAAAATCAAAAAGTTATTTTGAGAATGAATTTTTAAGTGTTCGCATGGTTATTTTGTATATTTAATTTTGTTTCTTGTTTTTGTTTTTAATTTTTTCTTTTGCACCAAAACTCACTCACACGAAATATGATTTTATTTTGATTGTTGTCGTCTTTGCCTCTGCCACAGTTACCGCCGTCACGACTGTCACCGTCACCGTCCCTGTTTAGCTTTAGCTGTAGCTGGCTAAACGGCCCGTCCTTCACGTTTCACGTTCAAAGAGGCTGGCCCACAACACTGTATTCTAGAGTAGTAACTACAATAAAGCCGCCGCCGCGTACTTTTTTCACACTCGTCACTCACTCACTCATACGCTCCGAATGCCTTACGTCGAAGACTGCGACTGACGAAAGCATTCAACGACAACGTAGAGATGGCCAGCAAATACCAGGCGACTACGACAACGATTAACAGTGGGATGTTTCAGAGAAAATTGAGCGCATAAAATAGGCGCATATAATGTATATACACGTATGTACATATGTTCATATGGCATCCACAGTAGCCGAGTGGTAAGCATGTTTTTAAATCCATAATTATGGATAGGAATGGATAGGTCACCCTCTCTGAATGTAGTTCTGTCATGAAATAAAAAACGAATTATTCAAAAAAATCCATCATTTTTTTAGAAAAATATTAAGACATTTCATAGATTTACCAAATTTAACCATTTACACTAAACTTTTCCTTCATAAAATTCTGTATTATGAGGGAGCGATTTTGAAGTTTATTTAATTTATTTATTTAATAATAATAACAAAGCATTAGTACAATAAGATTTTCATATCTTTTTTAGTACAACAGAGATAGTGTGAAGAATAAGTAAATATTACTTTACAGATACCTTAACAAAAATAATAATAAAAATAAAAATAATTATAATATATAATGAGTTGAGTATGACAAAAACTTAAACAATTATTGAATAGTCAGTCTATGTTTGAAATTTGGCCTTTAAAATGCATATAGATGTGGTTCTTGAAATTGCTTCTGTTTAATTTCCTCCTTAAATTAGCAGGAATAGAGTTCCATAATCGACTAGCATTGACAAAGAACAGCCTTGATGATTGCTGTGATCTATGAAAAGGTATTATTATATTACCTACTCGCGGTGAGTTCAGTATATAATATTATCCAGCAAGACTGATACATTTTTCAATATGCCACGAAACTGCCTCTTTGGATTCATCAATGGTGATACGTTTTTTGTCGCTCAACTTCTTTTTAGTTCTTGAAAACAGTTTGTAATCACTAGGTGCTAGGTCTGTAGGCCTAAGTTTTGCAGGGCTGTCAAATCAACGCGCCTTCTTGCGCTGCCCTTAGTCATGTCAAGATGATAGTGCGGGATTTTAAGAATGTTTGTATCGAATACCGCAGCCATTTCTGTGTGCTGCTTATTCTTCAGTCGAGCGTCGTCGACGACATGTATTTTCAACTTTTTGGATAAGTTCTGGCGTGGTCACCTTGATGCTCCTGCTTGGCCTCTGGGCGTCTTCCTGGAGAAGAGCCACTGTATATCATGATATCAACAGACTTACATTGCTGCGAAAGGATTGATTTCGCAGGTCTTGCAAATGTATAGCTTTGATCTAATGATCATTACTGAAAGTTCATACCTTGTACCTTCTGAAATCTTATGTTTATGAGTAGTGGGAGTAAGTGAAGGTATCTTTGATCTAGTGAGTAGGGTTTAATAGTTATGTGTAAGCTGATATAAATTCAACGTCTATTTGTTACAAGTACAAATGTAGCGTGGCCAGCCTTATTGTATGTTTATTATTATTTTTCTAATG